CGGGTCGATCTGAGACAATTTTTTTTTTCGGGGCTCAAAAAAAGGCAGTGTATAACCTTCCTTTTTTACCAAAAATCGACTACACTAAAATTTCTCGGGAAAACACTTTTTCTTATTAATTTTGGTGCGTAGAATCCAAAACAATTCGTACTTTTTCGATCAGACTTCTCAATCAAAAGTTATAGACTAGAAATCAATTTCGAAAAAAAATTCAAAGGGCTGTAACTTTTGAAATAGCAGCCCAATCTTGGAACTGTTTGAAATTATGGATTCTACAGGCCACATTCTATAAGAAATTTTTTTTCCGGGTCGAACTGAGACAATTTTTTTTGCGAGCCTCAAAAAAAGGCAGTGTATAACCTTCCTTTTTTACCAAAAATCGACTGCACCAAAATTTCTCGGGAGAACACTTTTTCTTATTAATTTTTTTCTCAATCAAAAGAAACCAATTTCGAAATAAAATTCAAAGGGCTGTAACTTTTGAACTAGTGGCCCAATCTTGGAACTGCTTGAAATTATGGATTCTACAGCCTTTGAGATGGCAATCATGGTTCTTTGGCATCCTAATAAACCTGTATAATCAAAAAGGAAAATTGGTATCCCCAAATTATACCGTCTTCATAATTTTGCTTAGGCAATTCCAATGGATCTCTATACAGCTAAAAAGGACCCTCCCACCATTTTAACTCCAACAATTTCTTTGGAGAGTAGGTAATACTGCAGGATTGCACTCTCCGGGGATAAAATTCTATTTGCCAATTTTTGGTAAAGTTCTAATTTCTTGGACTCGGTTCCAGACGAAAGTTTTCCATTGGTTTCGTATCCAAGAGAACGCACGCAGCACTGGAATCTCACCAGCAGAATACAGGAACATTACGGAATTCCAAGTTTTCTAAAACACCTCTAATCTTGGAATGCTCATTTACTTTAGGGGTGCAAATCAGGTTTTTGCTTGGATCAATTGAATTTTGACTTCGGAAAGGGCATCAGATCTCAAAAATATCCCAGCAGAATAGGCGTAAGCACTTGCATCGCAGAATAAGTGAATGCTCCGAGTATTGTAAAGAGCATCATAGTAAAATTGAGTAGCAACCTCGGAATTTTAAGGTTAATCAACAGGTTTAAATCTTTGGCCCAGTTTAAAAACTCCATTTTTATATCTATTTCCACATCCCACAATAAGTTAATAGACCATGTTTTTTGCAGTAATAAATAGAAGTTGGAGCAGAAAATCTAATCGAGTTAAAAATTTTATTGAAAAGCGACAGAATCGTTCTTTTAGTTACTTTTTTCAAATTTAATTTTTTAAACCGGTCAGATATAAGTTCTAGGGTATCTTGATAACGGTCCCATTTTAACTCTAACGCATGGGATAAGAACACTGTATTCGATGGGTCTTCTTTATCGAGAATGATAGTCTCCCAGCCTCGTAGGTCAAACTTTCCTCTATCCATGACAGCTTCTGACTGCGTAATGAATTCAGAACATTCTTCAATTGATACTCGTGACACAATTGTCAACGTAAAAGCTTTTTGATAATATTATTGGTGCACCTAATATTTCTTTTCATTTGCAGACATTAACAAGACATAGACCGCGACCAAGATCCCAGATTAACGAAAGATCTCGAAGTTTCGCACCGGGTACAAGTTCGCACGAATCCGCCCTCGAAGACGACGTGTTCTTCGAGCAACAGGCGCCTCCGGCAAGTCCGCCATTCGACAATACCTCAAGTGATGAGCTCGACGCGAACCCTCCCGTAGAACATCGAAAGACGTTGGAGGCGCCGATACGCTACACCGCGACAACCGGATGGAAGCGCAATCCTCAACACGTCGTAAGGACCAGAGGAGAACATCGAAAGGACGTGGGCGGGAGTAGAATATTTTCATCTCTTCTAGATAGCGTCTTAGACAATTCTGATCGGAGACAGTATGGAATGGGATGGGTCGGCCGCATGTTTGGGTAATCATTACCCATGTTTCCCCTCTCAATTTCTATGTCTTTTTCCTAAACAGGCGGTCAATGAGGCGGTCAGTACAACAAGACGAAGATATACAACAGCAGCTTGACGATTTAGAAGATCATCGGCCGATGTTCACCTACTGGGTTACGACTGTGCAAATACTGGTGCTCGCCATTTCTCTGGTCTGTTACGGATTCGGCCCATTTGGTATTGAAATGAGGACCAGATCCGCCCACGTGCTCGTACCGAGTTTGTCATTACAACAGGTCGATTATTTAGAACCTGCAAATTTTTGGTTAGTGATCAATAATGGTTCATTGTACACACCTCCTATTTTATCTGTTAGATCTCTCTCTTGGTGATATTTTTACTTTGCTGTTCTCCCAACAATTTTCCTAATAATAGTGATCGCCACACTTTTCTAATGATTTTCCAAATTTTTGTAATCGCAGTGGGCCCCCATTAAGAAATCCTCTTATAATTTAGGACGCTATAGTCATTTTTTTTTTCTGTAGGTACGGTCCAAAGGCGGCAGATTTAATACATCTAGGAGCAAAATTTGCGCCGTGCATGCGAATCGACGATAAAATACAACAGCAAATTGAGAAAACGAGGACAAAGGAACGCGAAACGGCGTGCTGCATAAGGAATGACCACTCCGGCTGTGTGCAATCATCACGAGCGGATTGTTCAGTGAGTACCTATTGCTTTTGTTGTTTTAATAAAATTAACATTATTATGGTAGACATATATGTAATTTTATTCCTTTTTTTTTCAACCCAACTGATCCGAGGATTAATGCCATCGGTATGTTCCACATCTTAAATGCACGATTTTGTATAGTGTGTGTGTTTTAATGTGGCTTGCACTTTAGGTATACACATGATCATTAAAGACCTCAAGATTTAAACTTAAATAACTAAATAACTAATTGAAATTATTAAATTTAGAGCTTAGATTATGATACCATGGGTAGATTCTAAAATTAACAGTTTTCTGTGCCTACTATTTGTAAGATAAATTGAATTCTAAAATTTAGAATACCCTTTAAGTCTATTATGAACATCTAGAGACAATTACCCAGAAGGGGGGCCAGCTGGGGCGCACTCCCACCTATATCGTGATCTTTCCTCATCTAGGGGCTAAGTATATCTCGAATCATCTGGAACAGAATAATAAAAAACTATTTCTAGATAGTATTCTATACATTTAATCATGTTTTGTAAACTACCCCTTGGTCATTTTCATCAATCCCTATAGAATTTCAAAAATTCAGTGTCCTTTTCATTTAAGCAGATCTGTAGAAATGCTTTCTTTATGTCGGAACCACTCCTATCTTATTTGCCCTAAATTTAATAAACAACGCAGGAATAATTTCACTTAAATTCAAACCCTTCTCTAAACACATGTTCAAGAAAGGTTGACCTTTTTCCCTGCAGGATGCGGCAGAAACTGGTCCAATGGCGGTCGTTGAATCTCCCTTTATCAAAAGGAAAAAAAATGCTCTTTGTTCGAACACCGTTCAATTTTTGAAACGATTTTCACTGATTCCCATTCCTTGAATGCCTCGAGCTTTTAAATTCTGCTTTTCTAATTTTTGTACCTTAGCAATTTTATTGGGTGTCCTTCTAACCAGGGTAGTTGAACTTTGTATCTGTTATCTGTGTTAACTACTCAATCATACCATACAGTTTAGACAGGTTCCAATAACTTTAACAACTCGCGAAAAAACCTCGATTTGCAACTCTTCACGGCCAAATGTAACAGTCAAACAGTCAATAGTGTTACAGTTCTGGTCAAGCACAGCATACAACCCTCAACTATTTGACGAGCACTGGAGTGTCTAGTCAGTAGCACATATCCTCTTTTAAACACTACATGCCACATAAAAAGTTATTTAGTGTTAATTTTAGATTGAAAGTAGTTACGAGTCAAAAAGTTAATATGGCAGGTGAAATGGTTGTGATCAAGGTTTATTAGAATCTTATTTTACTCGTTTATTAGGCAGAAATTGGTTGGATGTACCCAGAGCTGTGCAGTATTCGATGCTGTAAATACTTTTTAGTATTCAAATCCTTTAAAGTATTCAAATAATACTTTTATGGAAGCAGTATTTGTATTTGTAACTCAAATACTTCGCATAGTATTTGAATACTTAAACAGGAAGGCCTTTTTTTTTACCAAAAATCGACTACACCAAAATTTCTCGGGACAACACTTTTTCTTATTAATTTCGGTGCGTAGAATCCAAAACAATTCGTACTTTTTCGATCAGACCTCTCAATCCAAAGTTATAGATTAGAAACCAATTTCGAAAGAAAATTCAAAGGGCTGTAATTTTTGAACTAGTAGCCCAATCTTGGAACTGTTTGAAATTATGGATTCTACATGCCACATTTTATAAGAAAATTTTTTTTCCGGATCGATCTGAGACAATTTTTTGTTCGAGCCAAAAAAAAGGCAGTGTACAACCTTCCTTTTTTACAAAAAATCGACTACACTAAAATTTCTCGGGAAAACACTTTTCCTTATTAATTTTGGTGCGTAGAATCCAAAACAATTCGTACTTTTTCGATTAGACCTCTCAATAAAAAGTTATGGACAAAAAACAAATTTCGAAAAAAAATTCAAAGAGCTGTAACTTTTGATCTAGTAGCTCAATCTTCAAACTGTTTGAAATTATGGATTCTACGGGCCAAATTCTACAAGAAAATGTTTTTTCCCGGTCGATCTCAGACAATTTTTTTTTACCAAAAATCGACTACACCAAAATTTCTCGGGACAACACTTTTTCTTATTAATTTCGGTGCGTAGAATCCAAAACAATTCGTACTTTTTCGATCAGACCTCTCAATCCAAAGTTATAGATTAGAAACCAATTTCGAAAGAAAATTCAAAGGGCTGTAATTTTTGAACTAGTAGCCCAATCTTGGAACTGTTTGAAATTATGGATTCTACATGCCACATTTTATAAGAAAATTTTTTTTCCGGATCGATCTGAGACAATTTTTTGTTCGAGCCAAAAAAAAGGCAGTGTACAACCTTCCTTTTTTACAAAAAATCGACTACACTAAAATTTCTCGGGAAAACACTTTTCCTTATTAATTTTGGTGCGTAGAATCCAAAACAATTCGTACTTTTTCGATTAGACCTCTCAATAAAAAGTTATGGACAAAAAACAAATTTCGAAAAAAAATTCAAAGAGCTGTAACTTTTGATCTAGTAGCTCAATCTTCAAACTGTTTGAAATTATGGATTCTACGGGCCAAATTCTACAAGAAAATGTTTTTTCCCGGTCGATCTCAGACAATTTTTTTCCGGTCTCAAAAAAAGGCTGTACTTATAAGTTATTCAAAAATTTGAGAACAATTTAGAAATGTTTAGAGAAAGTTTCCATTGTCACAAAATCAAATATAAAAATCCGATACAACTGAATACCGAACGATCCTGGAGTGAAACTTTTTGACTCGATAGTCTACGTAACTTAAAAACAATAGGGACCTTTCTTATGTCCTTAAGACCATATGTACCAATTTTCAAAGCTATCCCACGTTTCTAAACAAGTTATCATGCACACGGACAAACGGATGGTCAAAAATGGATCTGTTCCAAAATCGCTAGGATTAATTTCAGAAAGGCGTACGTATCATGTGCACGACATACGATCGCTTTAAAAACTGGTACACGTATTCAAGAAAGGTCCTGTGCGGTACCTCCTGTATAATAATATAATAATAATAATACGCTTTTACTCCCCTTAAATTTGTATATTACAATAGAAATATAAAAGAAGATAATCCCATACAAAGTATAACTTGATTTTTTAAGTAGTATTAAGTATTAATCTAGTATACTATTTTAAATTTTTAATGTATTTGGGTGACAAGTATTTGAATACTTTTCAAAGTAATGTAATGAAATACTTTTCAAAGTATTCGAATACTTTTTATAGTATTTGAATACCTTTGATAGTATTAAAATACTTTTGAAAGTATTCTGCACAGCTCTGGATGGACCAATGATTGGAAAAATAATTTTTTTGGGTGTTAACTCAAAAATTATTGCTTTATTTTGTCTGAACAGTAATGAAAAGTCAGAGTCCGTTGATTTTAATCGGTGTATAGTTGCGGTTAAAGGTTTCTAGTGATTCTTCGGGATCAACTTATAAAAGGTTTTTATGCAAGTTTTCAACTTAAAGAAGGAAGTAGCGCAGTTTTTCATCGTGCGTACGATGTAGGTACCAATTTTGTTAGAGAAAAAAGTTGAAAAAGAGTTATCAAAAATGGTTCAATCAGGAGTACTTGAAAAAGTCAAATACAGTCAGTGGGCTAGTCCCATATTGTTATTGTCCCTAAAAAGAAAACAGGGGAACAGTCTAGCCCATTTCGCCGTCGCCATTCTGCCGTCGCCAGTCCGCCGTCGCCAGTCTGCCATCGCCAGTCTACCGTCGGGCCATTTTGCCGTCGACCCGGTCCGCCGTCGCCACTCCGCCGGCGAGCCAGTTGACCCTCGCCACTTCGCCGTCGCTTCGCTTCGTCGCCGCCGAAAGACCAGTATGCTACTTAATCACATTAAAGTGTTGTAATTTCTCGCTAGATATACATCCAGTAAACTAGAGTTTTTTATTTACAATTTTTCTTTCATAATAATATCTAAAAAAATCATGTCCATTTCGCAATTATAAATAATAAGACTCTTAAATTAAAATTTCCTGATTCTTATTGTTATTACTTATTATTAATTGTGACTATAAACAAACCTACCCAAACCTCTACTTTTATCTTTTATTAATATTACTTATTATTTATTACTTATTCTTATATTACTTATGCGTTTGTTCCCGTGGAACGAGTGCAGGATGCAGTCAATCAGCTCAGTAATTACCTTCCCAACCAATTGCATCCCCTGGATTGGTTTGAGGACAATTACCTGGGAAGGGCGAACAGGTAAATTGCATAAATACTGACAACTTTAATAATCATGTTGGTTGGATAACTCTACGAAACATTCGCTTCAGATCAATCCCTCTGGCATTTATAGACCGACGGCAAAGTGGCCCCCCGGCGGACTGGCGCCGGCGAACCGGGCCTACGGCGAAGTGGCCCGCCGACCGACTGGCGACGGCGGACTGGCGACGGTGAACTGGCGACGGCGAACTGGCCACGGCGGACTGGCCACGGCGAAATGGGCGGACCCGCAGGGGAAATACGAATTTTCGTGGACTTTAAACTGTAAATAGTGTAATAATTTGTGGTGGTTGTACGTAACCAACCCTTGAAGATATTTTTGCCTCGTTAGGGGGTACCTAGCCGTTTTAGTATCATTGATCTAAAAGGGAGCTTATCAACAGTTAGAAGTAGATCCACAATCGAGTCCGTTAGTTACCATTAATCCGCATAAAGGGCTCTTTGAGTTTAAAAATCAAAAGACTAACTCATGGTAGTAGTTCTCCCCGGCTATATTTTCTACTGCCATGTCTACTATTTTGTCAACACCTAGATGATTATATTCTTGTGTTTTGTGATTCTTTACAATCTTGTTATAAAAACCTTATAAAAGCTTAAAGTTGTTTACAAGAATAGAATGTAAATGCAAATAAAAACAATAGCACATTTTTTTAAATTCTTAAAAAATGCGCTAAATATTGCTAGTTTTTAAAAACCAAGTAGACTTTTTAGATCATCGCATTGATGAGGTTGGAATACCTACACCTACTTTACCGAATACAATGTATAAAGAAGACCTCAAAATGTTACACAACTTAAGCCATATTTTTATTTAGGTTTGCTCAATTATTATGGTAAATTTTGCCCTATGCTGTCCACAGTGTTACAACGTCTTTACGATTTACGTAAAAAAGGTGGGATAAAAACTGCGATGCATACCCTTTATATTGTTAACTTGTGACGCTAGTGCCTATGGGGTAATCCTCAGTCATAAAATTAATGGGTTAGAGAGACCGATAATATTTATTTCCGGTACGTTATCAGAGTTAAGAGAGGCTTTGGCTTTGATTTTTGGTTAAAAAAAATTTCATACATTTTTGTATGGGCGTAAATTTACGTTAGTGATATTATATTTGATCCAAATTCCAATGAGATTCTATAAAATTGAATACGAAGGAAGAATATTTTATTTCACTTGAAAATTACAACTTGACAATCTATATCAATTATTTTCTTCAAAACCGATTGCTCTGATCTTAATAAGTGAGTGATCATCAACCATTAAAGTTTACATATTTAATAAAAATAGAAGACTGCACCACGAATAGTAGGTACCTATGTTGGACAGTTACATTGTCTGATTATTATGATATTGAATCCAAAAAAGGTCATCGATAGCACATGCAGATGCATTATCACGTTAACCAGATGAGCCCACAGTTACTTTCATTTAATACCGTGGATGAAATCCCACTGCACGCTGGCGTTCTAGCACATCATACATTAATAGATAAGGTGTTAAGTAAGGTTGTACAGTATACTCTTTTAGATTGGCCAAATTCTTTGAGTTCCATTGAATTAAATACATTGTTTAAAGTCAGACATGATTTATCTGTTGATCAAAATTGTCTTTTATTGGGAAATAAAGTTGTACGAACATGTTGGAGTGGTTAGGTCTAAATTGCTATTGAGATCATATTGTTTGTGGCCATGCATTAATGAGGGTTTGGAACAATTTATTAGTAAATGTGAGATTTGTCAGCTTAATCAGAAGTGCAGCAAATCATCATTGGTTTCCTGGTCTCCATAGATTAATAATTTCAAAGAGTCCAGATCTGTTTTATAAATTTCGTTATACTTTTCTAATTTTGGTAGATTAAAAATCTAAAGCTTCAAGTAAAGCTGATGGACGAAGGTACTTCAGCTAAATAAACCATATTAAAGTTAAAATAAGTATTACAGTGTTTTCGGACTTCCAGTATCACTTGTATCAGATAATGGTCCTCTCAATGGTGCTATACTAGGCCATGTTTGTAAGTTATCCATATATCAATTATCTGAAGAACACGTCTAGGGGTCTTTGACGATCTACTGTATCTGTTGAGCTGCATGGCTTTGAAAAGTAGCCCTCCCAAAACTTATTGTATTAATGATGTCGTAGAATACCATATCAACTTGGAAGAAATGGACGCCAAGAGACGCGGGACCCGGCGGACGCATTTCCGGTTCGGTCTGCGGTCTTGATCCGAAGTACTGCGACGCGCCCGCAAGCGTGCATCCCTACGAGTGGCCCGATGACATTACGAAGTGGCCGATCTGTCGCAAAACGAACACGCAGTTTTCAATCCAGAAGCACGTCCCGAAGGACAAATCGGCCGAGCACATGATCTGCGAGGTGATCGGTCATCCGTGCTGCATCGGCATTCACGGCATGTGCAAGATCACGACGAAGGAGTACTGCGATTTCGTGAGCGGGACGTTTCACGAGGAGGCGTCGCTTTGCTCGCAGGTAAGTCCACGGTGACCGCACAGGCGACGTGTGCGTAATTCGGTTTTCAGGTTTCGTGCTTGGACGACGTGTGTGGAATGGTGCCGTTTTACTTTCCCGAAGTTCCCGATCAGTTCTATCGATTGTGGACGTCGCTCTTCCTGCATGCCGGTATTCTACAGATGCTAATCACCGCGGTGCTCCAGTGTCTGATGATGCGGGACTTGGAGAAGCTTACGGGAAGTTTGCGGATCGCCATCATTTATTTAGGGTCGGGAATCGCCGGGAATCTGGCGAGCGCCATCTTCGTACCTTACCGGGCCGATGTAAGTTGAAACGCTGGCGTATTTTATCACCGGTAATGTACTTTTCAGGTGGGACCATCGGGATCTCACTTTGGACTGTTGGCCTGCCACATTGTAGAAGTCTTAAACGCGTGGCCAATGCTAAAGCATCCTAATCAAGCCTTATGCAAACTCCTTTCGATCACCTTGTTCCTCTTCGTGATTGGGCTAATGCCTTGGGTCGATAATTACGCTCACTTGTTCGGGTTCGTTTTCGGTTTTTTGCTTTCGTACGCCCTCTTACCATTCATCACTTTCGGACCATACGATAGGCAAAAGAAAATTGTTTTAATTTGGGTTTGTTTATTATCGGCTGCGTTTCTTTTTATCTGCTTAGTTCTCCTCTTTTACATTATACCAGTTTATGACTGTGAAGTGTGTTCATATTTCAACTGCTTACCGATTACTCGCGATTTTTGTGCTTCACAAAATATTAACTTTAAGAGGGAAGAGTACATAGTATGACAAATATTTTTACGGTTATTAACCGTACTGTTTATACCCATTTTCGTACTTATTTTTTCTGTATTTATTATCGACCGTGCAAAATCCTTTCTTACCACTCGGATTGCCCCCCTACCTTTCTCCTTAGTACTTACCTAATTGTCAGTGAAGACGTTAACAGAAAAAAAGTAACAAATAAACTCAGTATCTATGTGAAATTCAAATATATTTATGGATGAATGTTACAAGTGAAAAAAAAACGCCTAAAAACTCTTGTTTGTGATAATTTTCCAAAAGACTCTCTTGAATTTAAAAATATGAAAAAACGTAGTGTGAGAACTGATAAAAACCCATGTGATAAAGACGATATCTGTACTTAAGACATTTTATTTATATATTATTGTAAAAATATGTGCAATGAATTTCTTTGGTTGGCAACGAAATTTCAGCTGTAAAATGCAAACTGATTTGCTGCTATGCTTGAAACGCCCAATCCCATTACGAACAATAATTTTTTTAATTCTTGATGGTACTCCGTTACAATACACTTTAGTCTGATTTCGACAGTGCTATGTGTACGAACAGCTCAGATTTTAAGTAGTGCCAAGACCGATAATTGAGTTTTTGAAACGTACAAGTCGGTTCGTCTGACCGAAATCAGTGTAAGGTGTGATCCTTTAACACTTGCTAGTTTTTATAAACAGGGAGCGTAAAAATTGCGAGGACCGGGATGTAGATGTTGAATTTTTAAGCGTGACCGCCGAGCGTTCCAGATATGTATTAAAGCTAATATTATCTACAATAAAAAACTTATTTGTATGTGTTTATTGATACATTTATCATTAACGTAAATAAATATTTTCATCACTATAGATATATTGTAGGTCTGTATAAACATATTGTGTACGAATAATTCATGATTGTATATATAAAAAATATCGCGTACGAACTGACCATGTTTACTTTGACGTGACGTTGTTGAACCCAAATTATTCAAATTTAAAAAGACTACCTACCTATAGGATTACTTTCGCGATTATATTTTGCAATTTTTTGGCATGTCTCGTTTGCCGTTGTGAACGAAACACGCAAAAATAGCTTCCATTGTAAGATTCGTGCGGGCGGCTACAAAAGAACCATCAAATTTTATTTTTTGTTTTCGGTTGGGCCAATTTGTAAATATTTTTGCGGCACTCTACAGCCGCGAAACGTTCAATTCAGTGGATGAGCGATTATATTTGTTTATTAAACAAAAGCCCAAATGTGTAAAATATAAAATCAATTTTGTATAATGTTAGCCGACTTTCTTTTGTAAATGTGTAGAATTTATTTTTAAATTTTTGGACTGATAGGAGTAATGTTAAATATCAGGTACACTGCAATTGTACAAAAGTTGCTAAACCTATTATAATATGGTACAGCTTCGTTGTATGTACCTACTTGTTCGTTCATTTTGATATACTTGTATTGTGCCATTGGTATGTTGTATTAATGCAATGTTTTCTTTTGTAAGTGTAAGAGCATTAGTGGAACGGTTTATATTTGTATTACCCAATATGTATATTTTCTGGGCGCGAATTTTGAAATGTTGGATTGATACAACTCAAAAGTTTTTGTTCTAATCTACACCACTTCAACAATTGTACAGTTACATTGTAATACCACATCAGGTGTTATACTTAAGACCAAGCCTTAACATTATACTGATATAATAAATTACTTCTGCACATAAATAAAAGAATCACATTTTTAATTACCTTCTTTTCTAGTGGATTATACGGTTGGAAAATGGCCATGCCTTAGGTCACTTGTCCAAATCAGACATTTCAGTTGGGCGAGTGAAGCATCCTTGGACAGGTTTTTAAGTTGATTATCTGTATTTCATCGCCAAAGGCGCACATAAATGGTACCCTGACAGCGTATGATGGCTCAATAAGTAATTATGCATATTAGTCCAAAAGTTGTCTCGATTTAAGGCTGTGGCTTCCAAAATATTTTTCGTGGCCATTCCACTGGAGTGACAACCTAAACCACTAAAGTATTGTAGCAAATATTCCAGAAATCTCGATAGACATGGAGGCGCCATGAAAGATTAGTCATCGACGATTAAGAACGAAGGCGAATATGTGACGCAATCATTCCGAGTACAGTACTTGGTTGAGGGAGCCCACTGATCAGTGGCGGATTTACCAGCAGGCGGAGTAGGCTGGAGCCTGATTTTAGAGGGCGGAAAATTTGGCCCAAAAATGTTTGTCTTACAGAAAAATAACCAATATTATACAGGGTGAGTTTTTTTTTTCATTTTCACTATGGGGATCTCGGTAAAACGGCTTAGTTTTCAAGACTGACTAACGTTTTTCCATATTTATCTCAAATTTTTTATCAGCACATACTGATAACTTTGTATTTTTCTAATTAGACAGAAAGAAGGAATTTATTGGTGCAAAAACATATTATATATTCCATTTGAAAAAACAATCTTTGGTACTGTATTTTAAAAACTAAGTAAGCCTATGGAAAATACAAAAATATCCCCTTACTAAGGGATCAATTATACATAACTTTTATTATTTCTACTTTTTTGATATTCCCACAAATAACTGAGTATAAATCAAAAACCTTTTATTGCATGTTTTTACTTTTGTGCCGTTGCATAGCAAGTCTCTGGCTGTTGCCAATTGATATCGGCAATCTAGACAGCTTTGAAAGAAGTGCAAACCGCACCACTCTATCTCTTTCAGTTCTGAAAATATCCCCGAAAACAAGCAATTTGGAACACCCCCTGTACAATATACTGAACACTTTACCGTCTCTATATCAAAAATTACGAGTAGCCCGGTCAAAATAGACGTAAAAATAGTAATCAAATAACAAAAAGTCTGAGAGAGCTGAATTTTGGTAGAGACCTTGGGTACATCAATAGAAATAAAGGGCCAAAAGTCCCTACAGATCCCATGAGTGCTAAAAAAGTTGCGACGAACTTGAGCAACTCGTGCAAATTCGGGGTGCTTGAGAAAATAAAGGCATGCAATTCGTGAAATACTTGAAATTTAATTATATCAAAAAAATAGATATACAATAATATATTGTTTGTATTGAAAAATATGAGACTATGCCCATTAGACCGTTGTCACCGACGTTCTGGTGGGCATAGTGGTCCCTGTTATGTTACTTCTCATGCCTGATACTCGGACGGCTTCCATACTGATGCTAAACCATTGGGACGAGTGGAAGATCGAGGTAGTCTTGGGCACGGCCGGATCTGGAAGGAAACCCTCATATCCAATCCTCTCCTTGCAAGAAGTGACAAGGCCCCTTGGCAAATCTGGGTCTTCTAGCTTCTAAAACTCACTAGGAGCCATGATTAGGAAGATCACCAGTGCCTTTACTAGATTGTCAACTATGCACGTGCAGGTTCTGTGGTGAGTCAGATGAAACTGCCAAGCATGTGTTCTGTCATGGTGACGCTTTGATCAGAGATCAGCTCCTTGGCGACAGTTACTTGGAACCGGGGAGGATGAAGCAACAGCTAAATAGGGTCCTATACCTTTATTGAGAGGAACCTGCTCTGAACTTAGTTCCCAAAGAAAGAGGGTAGGCACAATGAGCATTTGGTGTGCCTAAGTGCTGCCTGGATGGTTAGGCTCAAATGAGAATTGAGGCATTTTTTGAAAATAGAACCATATAATTGGTTGTTATGTACTTCGCATGGATTATTCATTACAATGGTTTCATGTTCCCAATAATTCATTTGTTTACCCGCGGAAAGAATGAATACAATCATGAAAACTCCCTATTTACTTATTTACATAATTGTAAATACAATTAAATGCCGTACGTAAGGGCCAGGGCCGCCGTTAGCCTCGACGGCCCCCGGGAATATTTTTTGATCGGGCCCCTATAATTGAAATTTTTGTTGTCTCTTGTCACCCATATCTCCCCCCAGAGTATAACCGGGCCCCGGGGCAAATGCCCCGGCTTCTCCCTCTTATCGGCGGCCCTAGCTGCCTGTAGAATCCATAATTCAGTTCCAAGATTGGGCTAAATTGGTTTCTAGTAGTATAACTTTTGATTGAGAAGTCTGATCGAAAAAGTACGAATTGTTTTGGATTCTACGCACCAAAATTAATAAGAAAAAGTGTTTTCCCGAGAAATTTTGGTGCAGTCGATTTTTGGTAAAAAAAAGAAGGTTATACACTGCCTTTTTTTGAGACCCGAAAAAAAATTGCCTCAGATCGACCCGGAAACAAAAATTCTCATAGAATGTGGCCTGTAGAATCCATAATTTCAAACAGTTCCAAGATTGGGCTACTAGTTCAAAAGTTACAGCCCTTTGAATGTTATTTCGAAATTGGTTTCTAGTCTATAACTTTAGATTGAGAAGTCTGATCGAAAAAGTACGAATTGTTTTGGATTCTACGCACCACAATTAATAAGAAAAAGTGTTTTCCCGAGAAATTTTGGTGCAGTCGATTTTTGGTAAAAAAGGAAGGTAATACACTGCCTTTTTTTGAGGCCGGAAAAAGAAATTGTCTCAGATCGACCCGGAAAAAAAATTTTCTTATAGAATGTGGCCTGTAGTCTAGGGGTAAAGGCTTCAAAATTTGAGTATATAATCGTAGAAAGTCTAAAAATGCTTCATTGGGCAAGTTACGAATGTGTCCCTGGTATATAGGCAACCCGTCATACTTATTGTTTAGAAAAAGCGGCTATGTTTTATTTTTTCATACTGTATATTAAAATGCCGATAATGTCGTTTCCTATATTATCACGTGGTAAAATTAACCTCAAATAATTGTTTACTTTTTTCATTATCACAATGAACGTTGTAATTCTTTTTGCTCTTTACTGCTACTTGCTGTTTAAAATATGGAAGGAAAGCTTCATTGATGGAATCGTATCTGTATCTGCTACTGTGGGGTCTTTATAGGTACATGAACAAAATTGAAAAAATTTTATTTATTATTACAATTCAATACCACTAAAACCCAATGATTGATTCAAAATTCTCTTAAATAAGGCATATTTTAACAACAGCTTGGATAATTACACATAATAAATTGGAAATACACTGATATTTCTTAGTTATTTGATAGAACATCTCAGACGTTGTACCCAGAAAACTTCCACTATTACAACATGTCCACTGTAACATTTTGTCACACAAAAGTTGAGAGAATAGCCAATATTATAAACTATTAAAAATGCGGTTGTGCACCTCATTTATATGTTTCGAAAGACGTTTATTTCCCGAGAATTTCAAATTGCACTCCACGCAAAAATGTGTCTGCAGCATGTGACGCGATTCGTGCCTAGTCAATTGCTGTTTATGTGCGAAATTTTTCCCGCACACACTGCACGTAAACGGCTTAACGCCCAAGTGGGAGTTGACGTGATTTTGCAATTGCTGTTTGGTGATGAATTTTTTCTCACACATGTCGCAGCCGAAATTCTTCTCGCCCGTATGAGTTTTAATGTGTATCTGCATCTGCTGCTTTAAACTGAACCGTTTGCCGCACATGTCGCACTCGAAGTCCTTGACGCCGCTGTGCGTCTTCTCGTGGTTTGTCAACTGCTGTTTATGTACGAAGGTCTTATTGCAAGTTGCACATACGAAATTTTTCTCCTGCGTGTGGGTCTTTATGTGATTCTGGAGCTGCTGCTTTTTGGCGAATCCCTTTGAGCAGTACGAGCAGAAATAGTTTAAGATTCTCTCCTTGAGCTGAACTTGTAGAGCGGCACCGCCGCATAGCAGATCGTTGAATTGGGAACGTTGAGGCGACGGCCACTGATTCAGAGACCCACTGTCACTTTCACGGCTAGTTCCGCTGTCTATCAGCAAATCACCGGCCGTGCTTCCGATGCTCTCGTCGGTGTAACTGGAATTTAATTCATTCTTAATGTGACATACTTCTGCATGCTCAATCGTAGGCTTATCTTTTTGGTAAATATCGAGCGGTGAGTAAGGGAGACCTTCCTGCTCTACGTCTGGTGGTTGTAGTTCTTGCGGACAGCTTCTAAAGGGTGTACTCACATCCATAGATTATGTACTGCTTTGTAGGTTATGTAAATGCAACAGTTGAATTTAAACTAATAGTTACGTATGGACATTCCCTCTTGTCTCTGAAGGGCGTACAAATTACAGTCAAAGAATAAGTTTAAATAAATTTAACAATAAAATAATAACTTTGACAAGTGATGGCTAACTTCATTGCATAATTATTTTGCTATCAAAGCAAAACGCTAACTTCAAGCGGTATGCCAAGTACACAGTGGCGTCGACTTTTCGTGATATAGGGCCGTCATAAAGGAGGCGATTCCAGTGCAAGGTTGTTTTATTAGAAAGGTTGTCTGGTAACTCTAAACCAATAGAATGCTTGCATTTTGAAGGCGGGAAAACGTCATTCAGAATTCACATTTAAAATTGCCCATAGGTTACAATGCTAATAAAAGGGGTAAAAAATTTAGTTTTTGCAGTATATTTTTGGATTATATGGATATATGTATATGGTATCTACAGCTAAAATATGTCCTTATGCACTTCAAAATTCAACAAATTTTAAACAAATAAACTATAACTCAAGAAAAATAAGCACCCGCGCGACTAGTAACAACGTTGAACGCAATGTCAGAATTCTCGATGACGTATACATTCCATCCCTCCCGCTTCCGCCCACATAGTTACCAGGTAACCTTTGAAATAAAATAACCTTGATTCCAGTAAACTTTAGCTTTTGATTAATGGACCACAATGACCTAGGAGATGAACTTGATTGAGGTCAGCTGCTACTAGGGCAAGAGCAAGTATTCACGGAAGTTCACCTCCCAGGTTGCCAAGGAAATAACCTGTTGTGTACAGTGTTTGCTGCAACGTTAGCAATCCAGCATTAGGGGTTTATTGAAATTATTGTTTGATTCATTTGAGGATAAGTGAACACAAGCGCATTCTCGAAAATGGCATTTTTATAATTTTTGGCAATAACATCACTATTTATGTAGAGCTACAAGAAACTTTAAATGGGAAAATTAATCAGTATAAAATGGTGAACAGAACAAAGAGAATCAAAAATAAAACATTGCACCTGCGTAAAAGTAACAATTTAACTGGAATTCAATGGCTTGTACTTTGTAGTCGTTTGCATCGAGCTATAACTTTGTACACGTCCTGTACATTATGCTTTAGCGGTTGTTGAGCCACAACTGTGACACTTTATTTAAGGTTATGTTAAAGATTTTAACCTAAAAAATTTGGATATGTTTCGCCAAAGATTAATATATAAGACAGTTATAAACAAGTGTAATTGCAAATTCTTATGCTCGCCTGTAAAATCCCCAAGTCCTTTAGCGGGGAAACCTTCTAAAAAACGTTTTCTTCCACTGAAACCAGTTCAATCTAAAATTGATGTGAACAAGTTACCCCCACATACCAAAATAGATGCGAATACAATTGCGCATTTAGAAAGGCTGTCCTTAGTAGACTGTGCGAATAAGGAAGGTATAAAGTCTTTGGAAGACGCTATCGCATTTGCCGATCAAATACTGCAAGTGGACACGACCGGCGTACAACCCCTAGTAACCGTACTCGAGGATAGGTTTGTAGCCTTTCGCGGCTTACATTCGCTGCACTTTTGCTTTGTAGACCTCTGGAAGTAAGAGAAGACGTCGTGACCGACGGCGGTTGCTTGAACGAGGTGCTCGTAAATGCCTCCCTAACCGAAGACGATTATTTTGTAGCGCCGCCGGGTAACATTCCTTTAGAGCCACGGGCAAATTTGTTACACGAAGACGATGCTTAAAAAAGTTTTAGAACTATGCGAAGTGCGCGGGTTTTTAAAGAGCTTTAAAGACGGGCTGAAGTTAGTGGGACCGGTCGGGGCGTTACTACGACGAAATCTCGAAACCGAATGGTTCTATAATCTGGTGATCAATCGAGAGACTAGCGTGTTTATGAACGAAGGATCGTTCGTCGATACGTACGAGTTTGCCAGGCGAGTTTGTCAGGAGCGTTCGCCTTTCGGTGTCGCCGAAGTGGTGAAGGACACGGAGGATTTATTTGATTTGGATGGGCATTTCTTTCATAAGCCGAGGTATTTGCTTACGACGGTGTTCGTTCCGCCTTCGTTGTCGACTCAGTTTTTCCACGACTGGCAAAGGCTGCGCAGGACGTGGTGGCGGAAGGTGAATTGGCATCTAAGCTTGCATATACCAGTTTGTAGCTTTCAGCGTATCCTGGTAGATATGCCTTCTCGGACCTGCAGACGAACGGTGATAGTCAACTACTTCAGATACGCGCAGAGTATGAGTCTGAGAAGGTTTTGGTGGAGTCGTTACGTTTCAATCAAGAACCACACCCTTTATTGACACCCGAACAGTTATTTGTGGGTAGCATTCTGGTGTTTAGTGTTAAACAATTATTTGCGATTGCAGGTGCGAGATGGACGTAAAAAGGTGCAGGCGCATTACATTAGCAGCAACATTTCGCTTGACAATATGCTCCTAAACTGTATATGGGACGCATACGACGAGCCCGACTTTATAGGTAAACCACGCCCATTGCTAAGGTTCCATCGAAAATTGGCCCCGTACAAAATCAGTTTCGCGATCTCCGCTACAAGTCTGTTGAGCCTTTCCGAAATATCTTGTGCTAAACTTACCTTTTGCAGAAAGTAGCACTTTGGAGGAGCTAAGCTCGCTGGCCTTGTACTTGTGTCGGAAGTTGCGAGACGGTCACGTGTCGTGCCTGCTACTCCCGATGACTATTAAAACCACCCTAGAGTCGCAGTGGGCTCCATACGACGAAATGGGGGTGCCTTATACTGTCATTTTAAACGAGACCACTTTGAAAAACGGCATATCACTACTCCGCAGCCGAGATACTACACTAAAGGTAAACACATACGTAGGTAATGCTTCTCAAGTTATATTTTTTATTACAGGAACAGGTGCACGTTACAAAATTGCCGGCGTACGTCGAACAACTGTTTAAAAACTACTAGCTGTTTATTACGACCTATTGTACTTTGTAAAATTAACGCCTGTCACTCTGGAAAGCCATGCAATATAAGTTGAGACTCGTGTGTAAACGGAGTGGTTGAAGCTGATTCTGCAAAATGGAAGAAGAGCCAGATGGCTTGTGATTCCGATTTGTAAATAGCGCTTATTTTGTACTATTATTAAAGGCCCTCCGCTGTCGCCCTAGAAATAAAAGACATATTGTAGTGTTATATATATTCTATTCGCAGGGGAGCCCAACCAGGTAGCATGTACGCATACCAAAGGCACATTATGCCAACCCCCCCTTATTTCACAACTAGGTTCAGAGCCTGTTCCTCTCAATAAATTATAGGACCCTGTTTAGCTTAAGTTGCTTCACCCTCTGCGGTTCCAGATAGCTGTCTCCAAGGAGTTGATGTCTGTCTCTGATCAGTGCATCACAGTGGTCGATTACGTGCTCGCTAGTTTCATCTTCCTTGTCACAACCTGCATGTGGGCTCCTCCACAGGTCCAGGACACTGGTGATCTTCCTAATCTAGCTGCTATTCAGTTTTAGAGGCTTAAAATACTCTGATTTGAAAAGGGAATTGGAATCGACTGGTCCTCGGGGGCGAATAGGGAAACGTCCATACAGACTCCTGAGTAAACTCATTTATTGTGGGTAGTGACTAAGTGACTCATGGGGGCTACTACTCAGACTGGTGACGATGAAGGTCGTCATTGCGGACCAACCTACCAAGTGAAGGTGTTAGCGACCGTGCCGAGAACTGCGTGGCACTGGGTGCATTGGCAATATCGGTGCCCTTCCGATACCGGGTAACCTCCGGGTGGCGGCGCCTTTATTCCTTGAAGAAGAAACTGGCAGCCGAGCTGTGGGCAAGCGGCTCTGATGCCCAGGTAAGACCGCATTTCCGTATGGGAATTGCGGGCCGGGCCTACAAAAGGGCAGCCTCCTCGAAAAACGGAACGGTTCTAACGCAGGGCCTTATTCAGGGACCCGGTGGTGAGCCAGCTCCTATATTCGCAAAAAGAATAGGACTGACTCACAGAAGGCGATGGCTCGAGGGAGGGTAAAACCTTCGATCAAGCAGACCCTGCGCTAAAGCCTAAGACCGTGTCTGGGCCGTTGGCTCAGAGAGGCAACCCGACGTCAGAGACCCAGTGTCTTAGATAGTGTTGCCGCGAGACGAGACGAGACGAGACTTTCGAAAGTCTCGTCTCGTCTCGTGATCTCGAGACGATAGACCAACTCAAAGTCTCGTTTGGTCTCGCGTGGTCTCACCATATATAATATACCTACCTACTATCCAAAAATTATGTACAGCATATAAAAAGGCACCACGAAGGCATGACAAATAATAATGACCTTTCTTATCTATCAGCTAATCACGAAACATAATTATGAGTATTTTCTTTATCATCCTGCAACTAAAAACTATTATTAGCTTTCATAAAATTACCTGGTAATGTAACTAGGTAGGAAAGTCTCACTGAATTCTTTGTTACTTAAATACTTATTAAAGATAATCTGTCCAAGTTATTTTGTAAAATCTTGCTTTTATGATCTTAACTACGCCGTAAATATGTAAGTACCTATACCTACAGTAACTATATTTTATTCACAGAATTTTGCAAGAACACAAAGAAAAGTGTAAACTCATATTAAAGTACCTATAGTATTTTAGCCCCAATATGGCGACCTGAACGAACTACCAATCAAAAACGAGATACCCGGTTGTATATCAACTGTTCTAAATTGAGTCACTGTACAACTTGTGAAAATACAATGAGAAGATTCAGGGCTTTTAATATAGGTTTTAAAGGAATTCGCGAGATCCTATTAAGTATTATAACCAAATCTTGTTTTTCCCGCAAAGACAATTATCATTTTTGAGCCAGGTATACTGCTATTTATGAGGGTACAGGTTTAATAAATCAATTGTCCGCCAATAAAATAAAATAAAGCTGTCGAAGGCTTTCTGGATTTCAAAAAAATTGCAGTTGTCTATAAGACCTACGGTAATTAAGTCCTAAATCAACAAGGTCAGGAACGGTTTATGTAAACAATTGGAATTCGTACTACTTCAATGGGTTTTCTTGAAAAAAAACAGGACAAATAAATACAAAAAAATGATCAAAGTCCTCGTGTGAGATCGAAGGGACTTCAGCGCATTTTTGTGTGGCAGATCAGTGTTTTATTAGCCAATATTGACTCCACGTGAATGATAAGATCTTGCCGAAAGCTACCACGTTCACTTTGTCGGTACCATTTTCTCACTTACCGTGCACTCGCAATTCGCGTTTGAAGTTTTGACTCCACCATCAGTAAAATCCTTTGGGGTTACCATATTCCCTTTGTCGACACCCACTTCTGATCACCCGCAACAATTCGGATTTGAAGTTTCGACTCCACCATCAGTAAGATCTCGTTGGGGGTTACCACATTCCCTTTGTCGATACACAGTTCCGACGTCCCGTTCATTCGTAATTCACATTTTGGTAGATTTCGCTAAAATTCCGGCATAAAATCGTATTCAACTTTTGGGTACTTCACATAGCTCGACCTTCTATTAGTGACACGAGAAAGAGAAACCGCGATTCGCGCTGTAAGAAACTTTTGGGCGCCCAAAGTCGACTACCCCTCGAAGCGCGCCGCGCAAAAGGTGGTTTATTTCGCCCCTAGGAAAAAAACACAAAATTCCGCCACGCAGGAGTTGTGCGCGTTGACAAGATCTTCCCGACGACACCAATTTGAAAACAATCGGAGAAAAACGGTAGAAGAAGATAGATAAAAACTGAAAAATCTCCAGGTTAGTATAATACGCTCGGGGATGGCGTCCAGATGTCGTCGACTCCAAATCTTGTAGCCCCATTCCTAACGTTCTTAATTACACGGCCCCGATAGTTACATGTACACTCCTTGTCTTTTTACAAGCGTTTTTCTACGGGCGCGCATTTACTGCCAGCCAGCCAGCCAGCCAGCCAGCCGACCAGCCAGCCAGCCAGCCAGCCAGCCAAAGTGAGATTAAAAGCTACTTGTTACAAAAAACATTTTTTGCAAAAATGCGCTAAAAAACTTCGAGACCAAACGAGAGTCTCTCGTCTCGGCGGCATCACTAGACTCAGACCGGAGGGAAAAACTCCAGGGTCTGACTCAGAGCAATCTGAGAAGAAATCTATATAGAGGTTCGTTGTGCACCTGCAACTTTGAGTAGGTAGGTGCTCTAGAACCTCCTGGGCTTCTTCTCAGGCTGCCCTCAGCCAGACCCTGGAGTGATTCCGCTGAAATCCGCAAGGCAGGCCCGTAGCCAGAATGAAGTAGCAGGGGTGACCGGCATTTTTCCAGGTGGGGCTTAAGAAGCTCTGATAAAGACTTCCCCTGTAATTTTTGTAAAGGAACAATCAACCGTAATTTCCAGCGGGGGCAAGACCACGTTCTAGGTGTCATTGTAGCCAAATGCGAGGATCATCAGTGGACCTCTGGGACTATTTGCAGAGCGACCGTCCCTATTTTATGCCCTGGGATGGCGTGTCTCAGTTCAGCGAGGCACGTCTCTATAAGGGTAAAATGATGTCTGTGTTATAGGCGGGGCCCCGGATGACAGCCACCATCTTTATGCGCTCCCCAGAGGCAAAATCCTAGTTTTAGGACGAGCCTAAGAAGGATGTTCTTTTAAATTTTGGCTCCGCGAAGCAGCGAGACCCAGCGCCGTTGCGACGGAGGGGGCCCAATCTCGAAAAAGGGACCGGAATCGCGTCTGCACCACTGGGGAGAGGAAAAGTTTGTACATCACTGATGGACAAGGTAGGTAACCTTCTTACAGAGCAATTGCTCCTATCACGGAGCTGACTGATATAGCACCTACTATCTAAATAATGGGCTTCCCCTTGTGGTTGGCTGAATTTCAAGCGTACACCACGTTTGCGTGTGGGGCAGCACGTACACGAACTCGAGGGGAGAGCATACATTCTCGAGTACTCGCAAACAACTTACCTACTGATTTGAATGTTTTAAATCAGGGAACAACTCCTGCAGTGCCTTCGTCACAGCGCGGAGACAAGCGAGGTTATTGATCAACTTGATAAAGACGTCCCTGTAATTTTTGTAAAGTATAACCATCAACCACCATTTCCAAAGGCCACCTGGCCACCCCCTGGCTACGGACCTGGCTCGCATTAAGCGACGCTATAATAGCGTCATATGCGTACAGCTGTAAACTGCGGACCTTGTAACAATTTTAGGAAATTTATTAAAACGTAATGTTACGCCTATGTTTGTAAAGATTGAATTTATCGAGCTTTTGGCGCGGGGATTTCCCAATGCATAGAATCAATCGATTTGAAGAGAGCGGAAAGTAAAGTCCTATTCAGGCGCTCTCCAGATATGAAACATTTATAGACCGTTTGTTCAGTCTTTTTTTTATAATTTAAAAATTCAGCTTTTGAGCTATTTTTTTGGCAAAGAAGGGTTTGAAACCGTAAGTTCATTTTTATTTTATTTCAATAATTAATTATGGTAATATTTTAGCTTCTTTGTTCTGGTTATTGTTAATTGTTATAACTACCTCATCGTAATATACCGAGCATCCAGACCAATCGCCTCGCCAGTGCAAATCAAGGACGTTTTACCTAACCATCCACCCAGAGCCGGACCAACAGGAAGAAGACCAGCCACTAACAACCGCAAGTAGCCTAATTAAACTTACGAGTAGCAAGTTAACAGCAATTAAATAAAGAAAGTTAGCCGGTGCATGTGTGTACATTATTTTTTCTTCGATATCAGAACAGTTTTATTGTTCATTTCCTTTTTGATATCGAAATACGGCACAACCAATATCTCTTTGTTAATGGAATATCTTAAAATATATACTTAATAATGTGGTAAACTGCGCCATTTCTCACTCACACACTCACATACTTGATTCTTGAAGTTACAAAAGTATGTCAACTAATGTCATTCATGGTGGCTCGACGCATTCCATTTGCTTATTAACGTAAAATAAAGTTATAAACATTGGTTGTGTTCGTTTGTAACGTACCCTTTACATAGTATACTTATTAGCAAGGAGGTACCTAATATATTACAATTGGCGTCGAGATAAAGGTAAATTTTAAAAAGCACTTTTTTTAGAATATGGTTACTCTAAGAGCAAAAATTCAATTTACTCGTAGTGGTCACCGCATTGCCATTAGAAGGAAACGAATTGACACGAATGTCTTATGCTGGTCTTATGGAACGTTTGTTTCTCGTACACGACTGGAATTTGTCCAACAGCCCGATGGATCCTTTGTTTTCGGAACTACCTTGACACATCCAACGTAACTACCAAATACACCAGTTGTAAGTGTTGGTGGTGCCATCGGCAGTATCGAAGAATTCAGGATAAATACCCATTGGAATATCCACAGTGAGCGGCTTGAGTAATGCATAAGTGCACATTTCGTTGTTGAGCAGCGAAAGGTTTCTGGTGCATCTAACTACGGTAATGGGACCAGAGGGTTTATAAGGCATTGCGCTACTTACATAACCCAGTTCTGTCCCAAGATGAAACGTACGCCGAGTTATGTGAGGTCAGAATTACACCTTCTACAAAAGGTCTCCCATATTTTTCGGAACTTTCCCCAGAAAAACTCAAGACCTGCAAATCCTTCGGAATATTTCGTAGGGAAATAAAAAAGTTTGTAACTATGTGGATGGATATGGATGAAGAAAATGCAAACCGTGATACTTTCTACTCTAACTTTTGTGGTAACCTATACCTGTGTGATATGTGTATGCTTTTATATTTTATCTTTACACTTTGACGCCTCCTAATGTACGTTCATTGTGGGCCGAAGGAATCGGTAATAAATAAAAAAATCAATCCTTAAAGTATTTTTCGTCCCATTAGTGAGCAGCCGCAATAATAACGTTGAGTGAAAAATTAAATAATAAGGAACTTCATATTCAAATTAGTAAGTCAAAACGGCTTTATAGGTTTTGGCGGCGTTAACGCTATTCTTCATATGATGCTCTCTAGCTAGTGGAATCCCCTATTGAATTAGTGTTAAAGAGTGCGAAAGAAGAATTATCATTCATAAGGACAGTATAAATGAGTGTGAGTGTACATTAGTAAAGAAATCCTGAGCGGTGCAAATGCCGTCATGCGTAAAAATATTAAATGCGCGCGTCGAGGTTGAAAAATGTTATCAAAACGTACCCATGAAATTGAATATTTTAATTTTTTATTATAAAAATGATTGCACGTATATGCAACACAATTCATGACCATTCTTGCAAATCTCTTAATAACTTAATTTAGACAAAAATAAGCAAAATGTAAGACGTAGTATAAACCATCCCATAAGCCCACATGAGTTAAACAAGGTAAGGGATACCTACCTCTACCCATCTCTCTCTCACAAAAATTCGCCACGGCCCCTGGCAATGGCTGATTTATGGGCGATGCCGTTCCAGTTACTGAGTATATAGTTCAATGCATTGAATTTATAACTTAAATTCAATGCTAATACTATCCAAGGAGTAGCATACATTTCAGAAAGTGTAGGAAAAATAACCTGTTTTAGAAGTCGGTCATAAAAATTGTTTCCGCAAATGTCCTATTTTAAAAAAATTAAGTTTTAAAATTTTGCTATTGTCAATGGTGCGAGAAATGCCAAATTTTAACGAAAAAGTTGATCTCCGGCAAGAGTAGAAGGCAGGTCTTTCAATTTTGGTGATTAGGTACGCAATTAATTGCTTCAATTTACATTTGCGTGATTTGTTAGAATTCCAAAATGCATCTACTTATGAATGCCCGCCAGCAGTATTTGCACCCTTCTATTTACATTAGGCACAAGCATTGACATATATGAATGGATTGCGTGTGCCAATGCAAGGCACGGATACTGCAGGTGAGAGAGAAGGAAACACTAAGAGGGAAGCTCGCTCTATCGCACTTCTATTGATCGCATTCAAATTAAACCAATAAGATGCGTAACCGTAAGAAAGAGAGCTTGACTCTTAGTTTTTCGTTCTCTCTCACCTGCAGTATACGCGCCCCCTCATACGAGATAAAGAAACACAACGAAGAATTGTAACTGTGTATAAGACACTTCCTCCACGGAATAAATGGTTAAAGAATCGTACAGGGCAACATCATACGGACAATCTACTCTCTTACAAATACAAAAAAAAAACATGATTCAGATACCTGTACAGAGTACCTAGTAGCTCACCAATGAAATCTCCGTTACTGTGAGATATACAGTGTAGGTTAAATGAGGGCAAAGTTGCCCCTTTTTGTGACTAAAAAAAAAGATTCGAAATTTTTGAAAAATCTTTCAAAATAACTAAGATATCACTGAGAAACTGGAAATGTCAAATTTCGTTTTCATTTTCCTTAGCTTAAACGGTCGAAAATGGACGGTTCCGGTTGGCACTTTCTATGGGCACTTTTTTTTCGGAGAATCTGAAATCAGAATTTCCATAGAACGCTACTTTCTTATGGGCGCCATATTAGATTTTTACGGAATGAGATAGTGATAGAGGACAAAAAAGAAATTCATTTGAATGCATCGCCATCATAGCCATGTTGATTCAGCAAAATCTAGTTACCCGTGGATGATTTGTTGAGAAATGAACGTAAACTCGTGATTTTGAATTTTTTGTAAATTATTTATTATGTAAAAGTATATTGTGACACGTCATAACTTTTGAATAATTGCTGAATGATTGTATGTTCGAAATTATCAAATTGTTTGATGTGTGTATGGACTTGTGTGTAGGAGACTGGGGAGGGTGGGCCACAGTGAAACAAACGACAAGAAAATATCAATACAGATTCCTGTGTGGTGTGCCATCTATGAGGCGATTCCTTTTTCGATTCGAGAGTTTTGCCTGTTACAGCACGGAACTATGGTTGACCTCGAATGTCACTCTTACGCTTGCATTTCCCAAACGAGGGGCAAGTTACCTGTCCCCAGGGTTTTAATCTGAAACAAAACTTGAGTTTTAAATCTATGTGCCTGCGATCACCAATTTCCACATATTCAGTAATTTAAACGTTGATTTTACCCTCCAAGGCCATATATGTAATTTTCCATGTTGCTTTAAGTAAAATTTTGTTTGTAGTTTCAGAAGATTATGTGTAAAACTTGAGAAGAATGTGTTTTTCAACTCTCGTTCAATTGACACACTTGCTACGCTCATGTGTCAAACTTTGAATTGAAAAATTCCACTTTCTTCTCTCCTATATTTAGTTGTACTGCGCTGTATGGCAGATGTAAATAATTTCAATAATAGCTTTAATAAAGAAGTTTTCGTTTAGGATTCCGCGTGATACACTTACAGAGGTACAATTTTTAAGTGTAAGATAGAAACTATTTAGAATAGGGATTTTCATGCTGTAACCCATTAGCTCAGACCATCTCAAAAAACACTGAGAACTTTCCACTTGTTTAAAATTTTCTTATTTGGTATTATTTTTATGAAGAAAATACAGGGTAATAGATTACAGGATCCGAATTTCATAAGCAAATTCAATGGCAAGTTTCTTAGTCAGTGGGGACGCTGAGATGGGTGTACAGGCTGTGCCAGTCATGCCACACTATATTCCATTAATTACAGACTTAAATTTTCTCTTGTGTTATTTGGTTGGTCGTTTCTGGATATTGTGAAGTTATGAAGTAGGTAGATGGTTTTGACAATCATATGTGGCTTAAAGTTCAGCTGTTTTTTAGCCGCACAGTCTCCGAGGGGGACCTGGGATGTACACAAGGTTTGCTTATAATGTAGGATAAGTTTTATAACAGAAAGAGAATTTGGATTTATTCTACCAAACAAAATTGTAAAATGATATGGGATTCAAAACAAAAATATCAATGTCAAAAGACTCAAAATCAGAATAACAGCATGCCACTTAACAAGACACAATTATTCATATTTACATATATTGTAACACGAGGGTGTGATTAAATAGACTAATCCCCATTACATATAATACTGCTTTGTGGAGATTATATCACCAACTCCCTTTATAAATTTGCTCTTAAATTTGTCGATTACATGATTTTTGTTTAGGTATGTACAACATAACATTTATATATAAGTAAGAAATCACATTAAACACAAAACATTCATTATTAATGACAAAAATAGTTGTATCTGCTGTAATAAATAAAATTGGAAGAAGGTATTATTAAACTAATAGTAAGTCTACGAAATATGACGTGATGTGTTACAAAATGGAAAAGCTGTTTCATATAGGTTAATGTAACAAAAATTACGTAGAATTGGAGCTAATTAGAGTTACATTATTTGTTGAGGGATTCCCACAGCTCATCATCGCCCCATTTGTCATCCCAAGTCGACTTCTTTTGTTCCTTTGTCTTTTTGTCCTTTTCCTTTTTACTACTTCGTTTTTCAGTCGGGGACGAAATTTTCAAATTATTTAAATTATCTGTACAGTTAGACTGATACCCTATCACATCAGAATGGTATCCCAAAGAATCGGATTGATAACTAAGACTGCTGTCCCAGTTGTGGTTTGGTGTTTTGGGACTTGATACCCTGCAAAAGCGTCGCTACATTTTGCTATAGTTAAAACCTCGACGACACTCACTTTGAGCCCTGTTGACTAGTCCAGCTCCAATCTTCGTCACCCTTACCCGACCCGCTCCCGCTGTTAACCAGGGATGATCTCTCCCCCGGCGAATGGTAGTTGTCGCCACCGACCTGGCCGTAACCGCCGCTTTGATAATCAGATCTGCCACCACTGTTTCCGGTCACTTCTTGCCAACCTTTACGGCCAAACTCACCAACCTGGTACAAACATTTCTCCCTTATACTTGTAAATGGTGATTTTTTAAATATTACATAGGTATTATACAGGGTACTTCAAACAACAATGCTACTCAATTTTTTGAACACACTGCATGTAATTATCAAATAATTTTCATGGTTTTTAGGACTAATTTTTTCATCTTCCACCAAATTTATTTGGAATCTTGACAAAGTTAATATCAACAGCGGTAGTCATACAATTTATTCCGAGAGTAAAGTAATTGGGAGGTGAAAAATCTCACTTTACAATAAAATGAAAATATTCTGTTACTAAAGAATGCATTGTTTGTTTAAAAAGATTTCGAATGCTTGAGGGTAAAATAATACATAAAATTAGGCATATAAAGATTAATCTGAGCAAAAGTGCATAATAATCTTTTAAATCACCTTGTAGAAAGTGTCAAAACTGACTGAAATGTATGAGTAAAATTAATATCCTAAATAAAATAATAAAAAAATTCTCCAATACCTTATTCGACAAAGAAACAACCTGTGATCCTACTTCCTCCAACAAAGTACCTTCTTTAACCTAATGTAAGAAACAAAGAAAAACAACTATATTTAACCATGCAAAAATAAAAACATATAAACCTCTCGCCAGGAAAAATTGCCGGTCACAGAACACTTGATCCCGATCTCAATCTATGATTTCCTAAGGTATGAGCGACTTCCGGGATAGTATCGTGTCAATGTTGAACAAAAAGACTTTTCGGCAATCTTTCCTGGCGAGAGTTATACAAAATAAATACCTTCTCTCCGACTTGCATACTTATATCGGCCACTTTTTGTGTTGCCATTCCGCCATACTTTATTGCACTTTCGGAAGCCTTACTTGCGACCTTGGTAGCCGTAGTGGAGAATATCGACCATCCCTAGAAACAAAAACGAGGATCGTCACACACAATTGCCTGGTAACATTCCGTGATAGATTACATTAGCTAGTGATGACAGAGTGGTATCGAAAAATTCTTGGGATTGACTTCGTGGGGGCGCTTCGCGCGTAAAACCGAAACCGGAGTATTTTCCACCCTGACTCGGAGGTAGGTCACTGTAAAGGAAAATGTGTTTTAAATAAACCAAGTTTTTGCATCTTTAGACGTTTGCGTATCGTTTCACAGCTCGTTTAAAATCGATTTTATAGTTTATATATATTTACTGTATTTTTAGGGCATATTTACTCCTTTTCCACTGTTTGTAGTAGAGTTCAGAATGATAACGGAAGTTAGTGTTCAAATTACTGACCAAGTCGAATGTTTCTGCGCATGCGCTAACAAGGTGTATATGGAAAGTACCAAAGGGCGTCAACAATGCATGTGCGCATGACTAACTAGTTCCCGCGCAAACTTGTTAGTTCTCTGGTTCAATTATCTTACGTTACCGCCCGGAAACTCAAAAGAGAGTCATAGTTACTCCCACGTGAGTGAAACACGGTAAGGTATGTAAGTAAACTTTTTTGCCCACCAAGAATATGGCAGTCATACGAAAATTTGCTACAACGCGCACTTCTCGAACTCTGCAAGAACTTACAAAGATCCAGTGATCCTACATCAAACCCCCATGCTGATAAAGGACCATAGTTAGCTATAATACGAAACTTGCATCACTGTAAAATACCGCTTATTCACCTTGGCCACGCCAAACTCACTACAGAAAGTATGATTTTGCCCACACTATAAACGCTAACGTAAACAGTGCCATCAAAATTTGAAAAAGTGGATCAGTACCTCAAGTCCACTGTATCGCCACACAATTATACACAAATAAAACTCAAAGGAACATTCATGACACCAAATTTTAATGATACACAATTAAATAAATCACAATAAAACCTTAAAAAAACAAGTAATCAAACTGGCGATTGGTTAAACTGTCTTTTCACATGTGCCCTACCCACAGATGCGTCTGCTCCACCATTAGCATTTGTTTTGACGGACATGCACAAATCCACTTCACAGTATGTCCACTCAATTAACTTTTATAAGAAGTATCTGTAGTTAAAATTCTGTTAACATATCTTAGTAAATAAATATCAAAGTGCAAACATGACACGGGATGAAATTATTTTTTAGCACATTTTCCAACGAGGTTGGGTGGGCTATTGCTGTCACTTTCTCTATCTGTCCATCCGAGGCCTTCACTATCTACTTCTACAGCTTTCAATGTATTTAGTTCGCCCTTTTTGAATTCTGTAGCTTATAAATCTGGCACCTGAGCCAAGAAAAATCTTGGCGATTAATGTGCGCATGAGCAGGCTGCGCAATATCAACTTTCCACAGATGCGTCTAGTGAAGGCAAACATATCGCATAAATTACAAACCAGATGGGCGCATGCGCAATACCAACTTTCTTATTTATGAAGAGATTTTTTGAAATTGTAAATAAATATGTTTCAAGTAAAAACAAACATATTACGGCATATTGTAAAAATCAGATGTGCGCATGCGCAGCTTCGTTATCGAAATATTTCTTGGAAATTTTCCCCATACTTACACGCTTCTAGTAAAGAAAAACATAGTGCACATAGCAATGGCCTTTCGAGACGTACTAATTGATTAGTACGTGCATTGATGCATGGAAAATGGGCTAAAATTACACGGCTTAGGGCAAAAACCTGTTTACTTGTTTTTTGCGCTCACATTAGGTGTCAAAACCTCTTTTAAAAAAACCGCACCTTCTACGAAGTCCGAGTGCTGACATATCAAATCAGACAGACAAAGTGTAGTTTTCATTAAAAATACGTGACAAAATAAGAAAACCTACCCTACACATATGAACACACACCTGTTTGTATCTTAGCATAAATGACCAAAAAGACTTGTAAGAAGCTTTTTTTAGAACACTGCATGGCTAAGGAACGCTTGTGGAATTCACCCCTCTATGTCTACGGCCACCAACCAAAAAATTCTTTTGCCTTTTTAGTATCGGAATATATTTAAAAGATAAAAATAAAAACAACCCTTTGGGCTAACAGCACACTGAATCTGCACTAAAAAAAACCAAAAATAATATTTTCTTTAAAAAGCCGAGAAGTGTTTTTTTTTAAGTTTTATAATTTCTTAATTTTATATTAAGCTTGTTGACAAAGTCTTTGTCCAGCCAGTCAATTTTAACACTTAATTTGAATTTTTTATTTCTTTTTTTATTTTATTTTTTGTATTGGTTTTGCCAACGATCTAACCTAATAATTGTTTTCGTAAACAAAGCATAAATCTGGCATATTGCACTTTAGTATAAAGAAAAATAATGTCATAAAATAATAATAACCAAAGATGTGGTTTTTTTTGCAAATATATCTTATCTACATCACCAAGTGGATTTATTTCAAATCGAGTCTCAAATTTAATTAACGCGTAAACAGTTAAAAACAAAATTGATCTTTTATAATTCTTTACAACATGACCTTGCTCTTCAGTGTCCCTGCATTTTTTTATGGATAGTACGCCACTGGCCAAGAAACACAAACAGCTGATTTAATAAACAAAAACCAAACAGTTTTTGTGCACCAAGAATATGGCCGCCACAACTTCAACGCGCATCATTGCTCTTGATAAGGTATTATCAGCCCCCTTTCTTTCATAGTCTAACGTGTAAACAGTATACCTAAACTAGAAGTTACGTCAGGATTTATAAAACCACCGTTATCTAGCAGTGTAAACGTAGTCATTTACCCATTTCAATTTAATTTATTGTTCCCAGTTATCAATTGTTTTTTGAACAACAGAGATATCAAATATATCTGCAGTTTGTTTAAATTCTAGATGTTGGTACAACGAATTCCCCTAAAATAATCACCAGATTGTATTTGTGTTGCAATAAAATTGTTCCTGGGAGCCGATTCTAACTGATTTCAACGGTCGAAAAAGAATTTCGACGGCGCCATGACACCCAATTTCTACTCTTAGGGTGTAATAGGAAGTTTATGTTTCTTTAAGTTTGATCTTATATTTTGCTAAGTTGGCTGTCTGATTTTGAACTATTTTAAACAAAACCTTATGTTCGACCCTAACCCTACAGTAGCTACAATCGTACCTATTATTATTCCTCCAGGAATTAAAATGGTTTTTTGTTGGGATGTGATTTTAGTATCCGCCATTGTAAGATACGTAGGTAAAAGTAAAACAAAACAAAGTCACGGATAAAAAATGTAAACAGTGTACCAAAACACAAAATTGAGGTTAAAACAACGTACGACTTTCTGAATAACAAAGCGCGCACTGTCGCTATCCCTTCTATTTCGACGTTGAAATCGTAATTTCAACCACTGTAGTCTAGTTGAATTTATTTTCAACGGTAGAAAAGTTATGACGTTTCAATGACGTATATTAGTAGTTCATGATAACACCGATAGATGGTTACGATCGCAATTTCGATGCAACTACTGAAATTTCAACCGTCGAAATCAGTTAGAATCGGCCCCCTGGTCCATTTCTCACAACGCAATAAAAATGTAGCATGTGATCGAAACCCACATTTGCGCATCCCTAATGGTGGCTATTTCTGACTACAATTGAACAATTATAGTCAGAAAAATAGCCCCCATAGAAAATTTTCTCTCAAGAAAAGAAATAATGGTCTCTAAGAAGTTGCAGATGGTGAACTCCTGGGTAAACTTGCTAGCAATAAATTCTCCCTTCAAGAAAAGGTTCACTCCAGGGCAATTCCTAGCAAGTTGCTATGATATCGCCTTTGGGCCCATTTGTTCCAGCGGTTTTACAATAGGACAGATTTTTGCAGATTGGATTTAGAAAAACTGTAGTACATGATTTAAAGTTCATGTTTTGATGATGTAAAACATTGGTTATTGGCTACCAGTAATTGCCAATAATTTCAGAACTATTGAACTAATCGACCTCGATAATTTAAAACTAATTTCCCTGTCCGTACAAGAGAAGCAACTGGAAAAAAAAATTCACTTACTCTCTTCTCGAGGCATTTTCCGCTTGAATTTTATTGAAAAAAGCCTCCTTTTGGTCTTTAAAATCGGGAGAATTGTAGCTATTTTGATAACCGGAACCGTTCTGATACCCATCACCACCATACGAATTATACGAATTGGTATTTGAAGAATGATTATTACTAGAATTGTAACTATTCGAATTTACTATGCTTCCGGTATATTTTTGTGCAGAGGATTTCTTCTCGTCCCAAGTTTGTCCCTGTGCTAATGTTGTAATCTGCAGCAAAGCGATAATCGTTACTGCCACAATTAAACCCATTTACCTTATCCCTGTATAATGCAGCAGCTTTTGTGTTGTACTTTTGGTGTATCATCATTTTATCGTCCCAATCCGACTGAGCTTCAAAAAACACTCTCGCTTTGTAATTTCCACCGACTTTCATTTTCTCTAATTCGATATCTTTCCATTTGTCCATAGTAACGGAACGCACGAACGAAAGGTGAACGCCCAAACCTCTATGTTTCCCGGAACATTCGAGACAAATCCAAATGCCATATGTTACGGACGCCCATTGTGGATTATGAGCACCGCACTCAAAACATTTCTAAGGCAAAGATAACGATATAAATAAGCTGCAATTAAAATGTATGGTCTTTTTACATCATTCTCGTCCAATGGTTTTAATTGTTGGAGAGCTCGTCTTGTCCTGGGGCTTGCCATGGTGATCGGAGGAATAAAATAAATTTAAAAAGGCCTAAATTAACAATTAAAAAATACTGTTAATATTTAAATACAGTTACTGGGCAAGAAATAAAAGCAATGTTAAATTTTCTAATAAAGAATATTGAAACAGAAACGTCACTTCAAAAGACGTGTTCAATACTGTGTACCATGAAGATAGCTGCACTGTAGAGCCATTTTTTTTGCAAATTTGCAATTGTGGTTACACACCTTCAACGTGAAGTTGGTCACCGAGAATGGCAGTGTATATACTACATACAAGTTTACTACATACAAGTTTCCTCCATGCAAATGCTTGCTTGCCAAACTGTAGTACAATGGGTCGGTACTTTTACTTTTGGTTAAACGAGCGATCAGCTCGAATAGCGCAGGGGCATAACATTAACAAGCATGAAGTACATACAACAAAACAATGACAAATGTTGCAAAATATTAGTATATAGTAAAATTGGCAAGTGCAAATATTGAACAATCTTGACCTTTGATCATAGGCCTTTGATTGATAAATTCAGGTTGGTTGTAGTCAAAGCTGTTACATTCTTTTCGCTCGTAATTTAACTTTAATGGTATTTAGTTTTTTTAGCCATCTACAGGTATGTTCTTTGTAATCAACTAGTACTCCTGCAGTCAATTTGTTCAAAGTGTTCTTTTCTTATTACAATAGTTCTTTGTTTTGCCGCTCCAGGCCGTGCAGTTTTCTTTGATTTCTTTCGGCGCACGCAGAGGCACTTCCTTGTAAAAAACCGCCTTCATAAAAAAATAAACAATTCAAGCATTGTAAGAACGTACACGCCGCATTTGTTGATCGACATTTTTGTCTGCCTTTTTGGGATTACCTACCCAATTGTGCTTTCTACATTGATATTCTTGAGTTGAAACCTCAGGAACCCTTGCATTTATAGCCGTTTGCACCGACAATTAATTTAAGCGGAGCTTATAACCAATAGCAACCATTATCTCGGATTTTAAGCTAAGCTCCGCTTTAATTTGTTAGCGCAAACGGCCATTAACCCACCAATAGTAATGTGCTGCCACTAGAGGTTTTCACTGTTTATCTGAATCGCGAATACACAGGTCTGGAAACTCGAGCGTGTTTCCTATGTGAGAAGTGAGTCCGTTACGCATCAACTGTCACACAGTACCAAAAGTCGCCAAGGGCGGCGTGGTCGAGGAATGTTCTTTGGCAACTGTGATGGCTGATTTTGTAAACACCAAGAGTACCGCCGCTTTGAAGGTGGACGCAAAAAAATCCGTCGCTTTGAGAAAAATCAGTAATAGCTAATTGATATAATGCCTGCAACGAGTTTACACGTAACGGGTGGCGACATTAAAAAACATGTGCTGGGAACACGATAGACATAGAATGGTGGTGTCATTTATTTTTTTAATTAAATTTTAAACTAAAAAGTGTTCAACATTCAAACCTAATTTTAAAGAGGTCTTTTTCTCTAAATATATATATCGTAACAATTTTGGCTACAAATCACATTGTTCTTGTAAATAATAATCAGTGTGAACATATGGTAACAAAGGTATAATTTCCATGCATTTCATTATAAAATATAATAAGCTTTTAAATAAGCTAATACTGTGAAAATCAACATCATGTGAAGTGCCTATGTTCAATAATTATAGTGATATTGCAAACAGAGATCTTTAATACTAATGAGCAAACGGAGGGTAGAAAATGATGTGAACATGATGTTGATGAATATATTGCAACAAGGTAATGCTACCTTGGTTTTCTACAAAAATTAGCCTTAAAGCTATGTACATTTTAACAATCCATTTATAACAGGATGACTATAGCAAAACAACAATTTAAATCTTAAGTGACTTTACTACAACTAAACAACAAATTAGGAATCTAAACTTGTACTTTCTCCACATAAAATACTCATACAATACACACACGCACAATTTCATAATTTAAGTCGTTGTACACAGATCACTTCCATGCCTGTTTCAGTGCCTTTCTTGAGGCAAGTCGTTTAGTTACATATGAAGCGCCAGTAAGTCCTATTAATACAATGGCAATTAACCAATGATCGAAATCCTCCTTAAGTAAATCGAATGTCTTTGAAGGTGTTACACGAGTATAAAACAAGTCCAACCCGTAAACCAAAACTAGACAGGTACTTTCAAGTCGAGCGGGTGCCACCTGAATGCCTCGAACGTGAGGTATAGACTGATTATAATTAATTGTTGCCTCAGGCGGAATCGGCAGTTCTGGAATGTATGGGATGTATCCCTCCTCCATATTCATGGTGCCGTGAGGACCGCGAGGTTCTAAAAACGCCCACGGCACTTCAATCACGGCGCCATTCGAGAGCGCCACAAGGATGTGTTTATTAGTAATGCCTCTCTCTGTCATTGTCGCGTGCATCGCTAGCGGAGTACCGGGGAAAATGTACGCTTGGTTCTCGGGATGCGGCAGCTGGCTGACCGAATGCGAACTGAAGGAAGTGCTGTTACTTTGAGTGGGCCCCTCGTATAGTTCGACTGCCGCAAACTCCACGCGTCGGAATCTTGCATTGTAGTACGAATACACTAGCCAATTTTCGGAATGTACCAAATGTATAGGTTTGGCAACGCGTTTATGAGCGGCGGAGTAAACGATTAAGCCGGTCACGCCATCTACGAGGTATATGCTTAAAACTTGCTTGTGAATCGGATCCTCCATGAGGGTGGCGATGGCGAGCAAGTTGGGGTTGACATACTTGTACAGAACCGATCGGTCGGCCAATACACGACCTTGAGAATGCACACGCTCCGATGACGGTCGTACATTAACGGATATTACGTCCGCCTGTCCCAAATTTAAGGTCCAAGTGGGCGTTGCCTTTAGAGCGTTGTCCGTGCTGTGCACCAAATTGTAACCTTGCAGTATCTTCGAGTTAGAGTTGACCGTAAACAAAAACACAGAATTGGCGTGTTTCAACATGATCGGTTTTGTTGTAGACGGATAGACGATTACCTCGTACTTGTCTGATAAAATTAAAAGTCCCTTTAAGTGCTTGTCGTCCTCGTATGGCAGCAACATCGCCTGTTCAATTTGATATGGTAACCGTTCCACGGTGCCAATACTTTGGCCTGTGATAGGATCAAATGTGTACATCACTCCTTTACCTGTAAGACATAAAAAAGAGTATGTATTGATTTACGTAATTATACACTTTGTTTCTGAAAGTTTTTTAATTAATTCACATTAAACGCCATGTCTTCATAAACTGGAGAATAGGCGGTCGGTGGTCCAATATCAATTTTCCTGATTGCGAGCTTTTGAGTTACCTACTCAGAAATTATTTAACCATCTAATTCTTCCAGGACAATTTTTATGTTCTAGTATTTGGAGACCTCGGACCAACCCCCTCTTGGTAACTGGCTATATTATAAATGTTTTATGTTTCTATATCCAAGAGGGTGTGCACACTTTAAGACTATGTAATAACAAGTATAAATTGTGCAGATAAAGCGCATTTTTTTAACCGAAATAGCTTTTGTTTTGACATCACCAATGGATATATTTCTTGCAGACGTCTCAATCGCCCTTTGTGAGTACCCTCTTCCGACAATCTGTTCTTGGGGTATAAGGGAATATACTCGATCACGATAAGAGGTCGAGGAGGAGGGCTATGATTGGTAGAAATTAATTCCTTTCGTTGAGACCTTTCATTAGAGTCCCATGAAGGATAAAACTAGTTCCACTCCCCCCCCCCCCCCCCACCCCACTTTGATAAGAGGACATAAAGAAGAGCAGTAGTCAGAGCCGTTTTTAGCAAATGCGAGACCTGGAGCGAAATTTTTTCGGGGCTTTTTTTTCAAAAATTACCAGAGGGATCGAGGGGGAGCGCGGGTGAATTGAAATCTCGATTGAAATGTTTATTTATTTTAATTTGTTCAGATAGAAAACAAAAACAAACGAAAATATCACTTATTGGTTGCTATGGGAAAGAAAGAATTTTATTTGCTGTCAGTTATCTTTGTGACAATCTTGGGATAGAGAAAATTAATTTATTGATTCAGATTTTACTGCCAAAATGGTTGATACACTAGCCGAAAGAGTGGAAATTATTCTAATTTTATCGAAAACGAAACCAGCGATTTAAAAAAATCAAACGTCAATATAAAGGACTTCGAACGACCTTTCAAACAAGCTATTACTCGGTACCACTTGTCATTTTTCAAGGAATTACCCTGGGGGCAGAGGGTGAAGTAGTTTTTGGTTAAAAAGTTGTCCCCCTTGACAAGACAAATCTTTTGACGTGGTGAGAAGTTTTCAAATGAACACCCTGTATATTTTAGGCACGTGTATCTGTACATTATTATATTATTTTCATTCAACCAAAACTATTACCGAGACTTATTTACTTATTTTTTGGCGCGAGTAAAGGCTTCCCGCGAGGTCTCCACTCACTCCACCCTAAGGACGGCTCTGGCAGTAGTTGGTAGAAAACGGTTTCTTTTGTTGAGACCTTTAATTAGAATACAATGAGAGATAAAATTAATTTTTAAACCCCCCCCCCCCCCTCAGGCCACGTCGCTCGCTGATCTCGAAAAATAGTCCCACGGGAAAGTTATAGTTTGTACAAACCAATTTATTTCGATGAGACCTTTCATTAGAAGACCATGAAGGGTAGAACATGTGTTTACTCCCCCCCCCCCCCCCAATTTCCTAAATTTTAACTTAGCACCACTAAAGGCATGCGTATGCAAAATCTGGGACCAATTGGTTGTCGTATGTAAAAGCTATGCACGTTTTACTTTCAAAAACAGCATCGCAGGAAATAATTTGTGGGGGGGGGGGCCTTTTAGACAACGAAATTTGATGGCCGTCTGGCACACCTTCAAAATATAGGCTACCTACTGCAAAAGATTCCAGGACTCTAAGACCATTCCATTAGAAGTAGTTCAAAACGGTAGAAGTGGATCCGGACGGACGAACGAACGGACAGACCTGGGACGGACGAACAGACGGACGGACAAAACGCAAACAATAGCACATTTTTTTAATTCTTAAAAAATGCGCTAAAAAATGGTTACTATAAAAAAAAGTATACACTGCGCAATTAAAAAGTTATTATTAAAAAAAACAATAAAATTTCGATTACTTCCAAAGATGAACCAGAGAGACCGAAATTTGCCATTTTTTTAAATTTTTTTATTGAACAGAAGTAGAACTAGTGAGCAACCGATAACTCAGAGAGACACTTGTCGGCCATCTTAGATTTTATTCGCGGGGTCAATCAAGGTCAATTGAAATAATTCGCGGAGGTCGCCAACGTGTGCGAGAGTATTTTCGAGGAATTAATTTCATGGAAATTTTTCGGAATTTAGATTGTGATTTGGTTAATTAATTAGAAATTGGTACGAATTGAGCTTTATTGATGAGGTAGAGAGAAGGTCTCCTGGTGGATGGGTACTCGGCAGAAACTAACACAGTGGATCAATTCCATGGATGCTATTACAATGGGTGCGAAAGATGTTTCCCGGATCAGACAACTTCGTTGAAAGACACCAAGGGCGATACAATGTTTGCTCCTCGAAAACAGAAGCCGCTTCATCGCACTTCAGGTCTGGCGGCTACAATTTGCTAGAGATGTGGGCGTGTGATTTTCGGGCACTTTTCCGCCCTGATGCAGCAGATTTTTTGGACATCAAAAATGAACGCCTTAAAATTGTATCATCGTGTCGACGCCTCCGCCATTAACTCTACCTCATGGGTGGTGTGGAAACGGGTTTGTATCTCGGTTTGTATTGTATATTGTAATTATCGATTTGGCTTGAAATGTTTTCATTTATTTCCGTATGTTGTACACTTGATAATAAATATCATTCCAAGTTATTTTGTTCATTTAATTTCCAACGTCTATTTTAGAATAGTGTAAAAATATAGGTGCAATGAGTAAGAGAGAGAGATAGGTAGACGAAAAGTAAGAGAGTGACGTCACATATTTTTAAATTACACGTCCTTTTTTTGAATTTCCCGCCGTTGGCTGCTATTTTGCCTTCAATTAAACGGCAATTACATATGTGTCAAAACCGCGAATCAAACTGATTGGATCGCGAAATAAATGTTATTAGACGGAATTCCGAGAAATCCGAGGAGAAATCAAACCGCGAATTAAATTGTTTAATCTGCGAATTAAATTAATTAAACCGCAAATCAAATTGATAAAATTAATTTATTAACCGAAATTCCTAGATATCAAACCGCGAATTAAATTAATCGACCCGCGGATTAATCCAATTAGTTAGTATTTTAGTAATCAATTTAATTGATAACGTCATCAATTAAATCAAATGTCAATAAAGCTTAAATCGTACCAATTTTTAATTAATTCATCAAATCAAAAGTCCAAATTCCAAAAAATTCCCAGAAATAATCAAATTAAGCCCCGCGAATCAAACCGCGAATAAAATCCAAGATGGCCGACAGTGTATCTCTTCTACTCGCGACTCTCTTAAATAAAGGTTTCTCTCCAAAGAAAGCGAAAATATACTTACTATTTAGAACAATTTTAACATTGCCATAATCCGAGCCATAATCTAAATATCCAATCACAGAATTTAACAAGTCTAAATTGTGCACAAAAGCGCATTTTTTTAAACCGAGGAGGAGGGCTATGGTTGGTAGAAATTAATTCCTTTCGTTGAGAGGTTTAATGAGAGTACCATGAAGGATAAAACTAGTTCCCCTCCCTCCCCCCCCCCTCCCTCCTCACCGTACTTTGATAAGAGGACAGAAAGAAGGGCAGTAGTTGGTTGAAAACGATTCCTTTCGTTGAGACCTTTAATTAGAATACAATGAGAGATAAAATTAACCCCCCCCCCCCAAGGCCCCGTCACTCACTGATCTCGAAAAAGAGTCGCCAAGCCGGAAAGTGATAGTTTGTACAAACCAATTTATTTCGATGAGACCTGTCATTACAATACCATGAAGGGTAGAACTTGTGTTTTCCCCCCCCCCCCCTTTCTAAAGTTTAACTTGGCACCACTAAAAGCATGCGTATGCAAAATCTGAGGCCAATTGGTTGTCGTATGTAAGAGTTATGCACATTTTACTTTCAAAAACAGCATCTCAGGAAATAATTCGTGGGGGGGGCCCCCTTTTAGACAGAGAAATTTGATGGCCGTTTGGCACACATTCAAGGTATAGGCTACCTACTGCAAACAATTCCAGGACTCTAGGACCATTCCCCTAGAAGTAGGTCGAAACGGCAGAAGTGGGTCCAGACGGACGGACGGACGGACAAAATGCAAACAATAATACATTTTTTTTAATTCTCAAAAAATGCGCTAAAAATCAGATATGCGCAGGCGCAGACCATGCAATGCTAACTTTCTTATTTATAGATATATAAGCTAAAAAACATACAAAATTGTATAACGGAAATATACTTTTGAATGTACAAGGTCCTCCATAAATGTGGTACGAGACACAACTTCGCCAGCTTTTTTTCTTATAACAACTATGTCCCGAGATACTTTAATTCGAGCCTAAAAGTAATATTTATCGAGTTTCTTACACTTTTCCCTAATTTCTCCCTTAAATTCAAATGCAATGCTCACATTTCAATTAGAAAAAAATCTGGCGTAGCACATAAAACCTTGCTAGAGGTGTTAGAAGTAGGGCACATCTGGTCGTTTGCGATAAGAAGTTCTATTATTAGGCGAAATTTAATTAATGCACATGTGGTTCTGATAAGATGCAGGTAGTTTACCAAGATGTGCGGGTTTTTGGGCCTAAGTTGGGACGCATTCTGTCGAAGCTGACGTTGTTTAAGCCTAATTGAGATTTTAGTGAAAATTCATAAAGATTATTTTATGGTGGAAGTGGTGGATCCATTAAATACGGGAGACCAACTATTAAACAGAACCTTTTATTTGGGGTGCGTGATTTTTGTTACGCGGTTATTTTGGGCAGTCGGCCCTATTTGTTTAGTTGGAGACGTAATTAATCGTGATTATAATAAAGTTGTGTAGCTGTAGAAGAAGTTAAGTAATCGTATTGAGATTTCGGTTATAACATTGTAAAGTGAGTTAGTAAAAGTTCGTAAGAAGTTTTTTATAGCGTTTTGTTCAGAAAAAGTAGTACTACGAGGGTGAGTAAACTAAGCAGTCCGAGTTTCGACAATGATTGTCATTCATTAAAAGTAAAGGGTTATACCGTCCGAAAAGCCACCGAATTTTATCATTTAATTGAACAAGCCAGTTTGTTTGTCATCAAAATGCAGTTTAATAAAAAAAAGAAGTACTTAAAGTTCCTGAACCTGTCAACATGTGGTGAACGTGTGTTTGTCAATTCTAAGGACGCCTGTATATCGCAATTTTTTTAATGACCAGATTCTTTGGATTATGAGAAAAACTGTAACTAATTCAGATTTTTGTATTTCAGTGTTTGTTGAACGCTTGCGTGCGTGGTATGTATTAAATGCCTTTTTGTCTTCCGGCATTGTTGCTTTAAATTCTTTTGTTTCGTGGAATAAATGATTGTCTTGGTCATTACTTAATTGTGTTTAATCGAACCCAAAGTGTGACCCAGATAGAGTTTTCATGTCAGCTGCAATGGTTTTTGAGAAATCGTGAACGTAAAGTTGTGCACATACAGACAGACATCATTATTTCGACAAACTAATGATACTGAAAAAATAGTTGATCGCATAACCTTTCTACCTATAGTGCGTTTTAGGCACTGAAGATCAAAATACTTCCTTAGTCAAAGAAACTATCTTGCATCTAGCAATTTTGAAAAACAAAAGTGTTACAAAGTATGTACATACCTGTTGATTTATCCTTCATTAACGCAGCACACTGGGCCATTAAGGGAGAATACCTCGCCGACCGTTGCGCGAACAGAGGAATACTCAATTTTCCCAAAACCGAATAAGCCTCCACACCTTTAAGATATTGCGACCAGACGATGTTTCCGGTGAGACTATCCAAACCGTAAAACCTCCCGCTCGCAGTCACCACGACTATTATTTTATGGAGACCAAACTCATCACGCACCATCCCCACATTCGAATTACCCTGCTGTCCCGATAGCAGCACGAGCAACTGCCGAAGTTGACTTGCTATTCGATTATAAAATGTACTCAGCATGTCTCCCGATATTGAATCAAATTCATGCTCAATTGAGGCGTCCAATTCTGAAAGTGGTAGTTCGAAGAATTCGACTGCAATCACTCGACTTAACCCCTCCTCTCTCGTCCATGATACTTTCCCTCCTGGTAATTGCAGTAGCGACACCGAATCATCGTTTGATTTGACAAACACACGGCACGCCGACCCCTTGCAAACCGCACTGATAATGTTGGCAATTCCTGCCTCGTTGTTGTAGTCCATTTCGAAAACGTTCTCTTTACCATCCTGTAGCTCGATCGTCTGCAGTTGTAATTTGCTCGGTGAATTCTGAATTGTTTGCAAAAGTAGTGGTTGATCGCCGTTGAAAACGGTGACAGCTTTGTCCGACAACGAATATGGATACACGTGAGGCATCTCCGGCTGCAACTTTACCAAGCGAGCGACATTGTTTCTTACTAAAAATAAATTTTCCTCGCCATTTTCCAGCGACTGCAACCTCACATGACCCGGAGGGTTACCGATCAAGGAGTGAATAGCTACCTTATAAACTTGGTTAGTGGCAGATGAGAGATCAATATAGTATAACTGTCCACTACTATCGTCACCGCTAATACACGCCCAATAAACGCCGACAGTTTTGCACTTCGACAAGTCAGAAACCCAAGGGGTACTAATTTTGGTAGTTTTACCGTTATTTCGCCCACTACGAACATCGTAGGATGTGACTTCAAGATGAGATCCTAGCACAGGTATTATATGAATTAATTGATCTTTACTCAGTACCCAGTAGGGATGCTGTTTGTTTTCGACATAAAAGGACCACTCCCACAGTAATGATCCCGAAGACGAATCCCATCCACGTACGTACCATGTACCTTTGCCGCCAGATACACTAGTGACTTCTTTATCGACATGCAGCAGTTCGATTTGATTAACGCTGGGATTTTCTAATACTTGCCTCCAGAGGATTTGGCCGTTTTTCAAACTCAGAGAGGCCACGACGTTTTCTTCTGTACCAACGATAACGCGTTTTGTGGAATCAATAATTCCATATTTCACATTTCCTACGTAATTTAATTTCCAGTCGAATTTACCAATTTGGTCTTCGTATAAGCAGGACGATAAGTTAAATAAATAGGCAAAGACAAAGTATTTAAAAAATCTTGTTGAAAGCATTTTTTTAATTAATAAATATTAGAAAAACTTTAAAATTATCATAATTGTCTAACCTCAAAATTTTATTAGCATGACGTGGTTAAAGATGGGAAAAAATGGTCGCGTTCAAGACGTTTCAAACAATCACATGTTTTGTCTAGCGGATGCTAATGCAATTCGTGATTCAGATTAACACCAGAGGCGCCGATGTAATTTAAAAATGGAGAATATTGGTGAATGAATATGATTGTGAATATGCCGCTTTTAAGTTGTTATTGTTGGTTGCAAAATTGCACTGATCACATTTAAAATTCTTGAAGTGCCGTGATAAAATGCGACTTTTAAACTATCCTTGCTCTTTAATAACCTAATTACATTGATTGCAAATGAAATTTTTGCAAGTTGAAACTTATTTAAGTTCCTAAAACTAATGCCAATTTTGAAAAAGCGTTGCCAACGTTCAGTGATGAACAATACATAGAGCATTTTCGATTACCTCGAGGAAAAGCGGAAAAGTTCGGAATATTTTAAATGCAGGAATGTAAAACTTTTGCTTGTAGCTTTTTGCAAACGGGGCAACTTCATTTAAAGATGATTCCAATAGATTTAATATAACTAAAAGAACCTTGTTCAAAATTAAAAGACCGGGTTACATTTTTTGAGTAACCTGTGGATATAATCCCAGAGGGATGGCTAGATAATTTGGAAAAGGTGAAATTTAAACGCATTTTTTTCTCTGACATGACACTCGGATAGTTATGACGTTATGAGTTCTCGTTTGATTCCGAAATCGTTCGCGGTAAAATACAATCCTGAACCGGTTCATAACTTACCCATGCGCCCTTCGTCAATTTTCATATATTCAGAATCAGTTCCGAATTTCATCCCCAAACGAAGCTATTGATTAGATAGGTATATCGTACAGCTAAGGTCACAGGTTTCTCTTTACATTTTGTGTTTAATATCAAAACAAACTGGTCATATATGTATATGCAATATGTTATCGTAATGGAACTATGTAGTCATGCCAATATTTACAATAAGAACTTTACACATATAATGATTAAGTCGTTAGCACATGGCTTTCCAAGTCTTAAATTCGTGGAGCAAGAATACCATGCTCCATTATTCATGGTCCTTCGAACCAAGAAGAAGACATCACGATACCAGTATATAGGAATTTGCGCCTCTTCTATACTATAATCTGTTCACCCAATAGATGCAGTTAAGCCACTCCTAGCAATAAATTTTGGCCAATGTAATAACAAATCCGTTTCACAGTCACAAAATTATAAAAACCGGGAAATTTAAAATCGCAGGTCACAGTCACATTGTACGACTAAATTATAAACTGTTATGTTTTGAATATTAACCTTTCAACACACAGCAGTACAAATTCAAAAAGATTATTTTGTTCGTATAATAGTATATTGAAATACAAGTGTTACAATGCGACCTATTGTAATACGACTATCTTGTGGCACGAGTGTCCACAAGATAGGAGTATTACAATAAAGCATTGTAACACGTGTTTTTCATACTATTTTTTCTATTTCGGGGCTTTAATTTAATTAAAAAGTAATTATGAAAAACTACAGGAAACTTTAGAATTAATATGTCTTAAGTTGGCAACACCATTTACGTTGACAAATTTTAAGTTGGCAGCGTAGATAAACACAACACTGACATTTGGAAACTTTAAATTCCGTGAATGTGTAATTTTTTATTCGTAGATAAATTTATTTATGGTGGATGTGTAAACTAATGATTTGGAATGTATTAAGTTCTTCGTGTACCAAAAATCAAGGAAAACACATAAATTTTACGTAATTTAATTTCACATCTGATGATTTGACGTTGACGTCTTGGCGAACTGCCAACTTAGAGATGAAAAGTTACCAAAAACAATGTTACAATGGAACTCATTTAAGCACTGTTTTTGCCGAAAACAGTTGCACAAAATTCTCATTGTAACACCGAAATAGAAAAATGAAATTAACGGCAAACTGAGGCAAGGCAAGTACAAAACGCAATATTCAGATACGGCAATTATAATTGGAAGCAAATAGTTGCGTGTGTTACAGGTTTTGAAAATTCGGCCAATTAAAAATATTCATTTAAATGTGCCGGGAATTTTTTGGGAGGAGCTTAACTGCATCTGTTGGGTGAACACTACAAGTAAAGGTGAACAGATAATAGAAGATTCAACCAACCGCCGACGTTGTCAAAGGTCTACTATACTATGCGATCAAAAATGAGTTGCTGTCGAGTCACCTTTGGAATTTTTGTTTGCGTGTGAAATCGTATTTAATTTGAACTTTCAAAGGCGACTCGACAGCAACTCATTTTTGATCACCCGATACAGTCACATACAGTGAGCGGCTAAAGTATGGAACACATTCAGGTATTGGGTTTAAAAAAAGCTCATAATTTTGGCGCTTTTGTTGCATTGAAAAGAAAATATACAGGGTGCGTCAAAAAGTAAATGGTACCAAGTTAATAACAGTAACAGTATTTTTTAAGTCCATTTTCGAATTCTGGGTCAAATTCAACGCATAATAAAAATCGAAAATGGATTTTAAAAAACACTGTTCGTTTTAAAAAATCAACTTTTGTATCAAAATCTACTTTTTCCCACACTCTGTATATTTTCTTTTTAGTATACAAAATGCGCCAGAAAAAATTATGATGGACGTGGTCGAGTATTTCTTTAAAACCTGATTTTTAAATGAATTTGTTCCATATTTTAGCTGCTCACTGTATAAAAGGTATCAAACCGCCAACATTGCGAATCCGAGGTCTTCAACAAAAAGACACCACCGTCGACCATAGCCAAGTCAAACAATACCAGGCAAACCGCACCTGTAATTTTATATTCCAGTCCAAGTAAGAAGCGACCCAGGCATGAAACCTTGTGACACTCACGGTACCAAAGTACATAGATCAGAACATGTTAGATTGTTTGCTCTAGCTACATCCCAACCTGAATAATTCTAACAAAAAGCAGAGATACCACCCACACACCTGCGCATGCGCGATTCTGTCCAAAAGCTTTTCATCTCTTCCTCTTATGTCTAAGAATATGTATACCAAATTTAGTTCCAATCGGTCAGCCGTTTAGCCGGAAATGAGAGAACAGACTACAGACAGACAGCTAGACCGATTGATATAATCGAGATTTTGTTTGATTCGGATTCCTGGGCATCGATTCCCAAAGTTAGTCGATATGCTCCGTGATGTGCATACGGCTGCCATGACGTCATGATCGTATACGATAGGGATAAGTTCAAGTTTAGCTGCATTCCCGAATCGTGGACAGCTTTATGCGCTAACCAATCACAGACAAGAATTGAACTATCATTTGTCAGTTTTGTATTTTGTTTTGTTTTTGCATTATGGATACTGTTTTAATAACCAGAAAATCCTCGAACAATTCCATGTTTTAATTCACAGAAAATATGTGAATTTACAGGTTAGGGCACCGAATAACCTCTAGCACAGATAAAATGGGTATTTTATCTGTGCCTCTAGCAAAACAGCTGCATGATCCGTCCTGTAGCTGCAACTGCGCATAACTTTCACGCAACGAGTAGTCTAGACTGCGTTCGATCAACTTATCGCTCGATGTGATAGGTTCGAGAATGCAGTCACATTCACCTTCACATCAAGGTCAGCCGATGTGAACAAAGCACATCTTCGGGAATCGTCATGTATGTACTTGAAAACGTGTATTTCCGTAAAAAAAAGTGGGGGGTCGTTGCCCAATGCAATAATAAGTACATACGTCCCTTATTACGGACGTGCGAGTGGTAATTATTGCAAGCTAGAAAGAGACCCACTAAGCATTATGACTTAATAAAGTTGAGATAGAATGCACAACAAACTGAAAGCGCTGCTGCGTCTTCAAGTAGGCTAGTTGAAACGCAATAAGCATTATATGACAGACATAACAACAATTGATACGACATATTTAATTGCTGTTATGTCTGTCTCACACTCATATAATGTTTATACTTTATTGCGTTTCTTCCTAGCTCATTATGTCAAACCCGCAATATCTTTTCCATATCAGTACATATACCAAATACATACAAGTATATTCGAATTAAACTTGCATTCGAACAATTGAGGTATTAAACAACTCACCCTATACATATAAAAGACCAATAGCGCAATTCGGCAACGTTGCTTCTTTTGTTTAAAAATAAATTCGTGTAACCGTTTGAGTTTCCGCTTCCTATCCATGGAACGTTTACGTACGTTTTAAATTTGAAACGATTCTGTTGAAATTAAAGAAAAGTTGTGTTTTTAACTACAGTGTCACATTTAAATGCTTAAAAATCAGTGAGGATGGCAGGCTAAGTTGAGCGAATACCGCAATTCGATTCCAACGAGTGCTTGCTGCTACGAACGAAATTTCGTAAGTTTGCAGCGTCTTGTGTTTTAAGACAAAATGGCAGCGAACAGAATACTTTCACCTTTATTAAGTAATCTGAGACATTTTGCTCGTTTAAAGGTAAATGCAAGATGTTTTGTCAGCAACAAATACATCTATATCTCCCCTTAGGGTTCCAAAGAGATCACTTTTGAGACAGTTCGAGCATTTTACATACAACTCCACTGCTTTTATACTACCTGTGAAGGTCTGCACGATTACAATGAAATACAACTCCTTAAAGATTGCAGTGTAGAATATGTGAATTGTGTCGATCATTTACTGGAGGCAGGTATAATTGATGAGCGTGACAACATTAAACTTTTACGTCACATGTTGGAAATCCTGGTGGTAAGGGAATGCTTCTTTTAAAAAATTAAGCAGATAATCGTAATGTTTGATAGACACTTTCAACAATCGAAGGTATCAGGGATGCCTATGTCAAGTTGATCGTTGTTCCACTTATTGAAAAAGCAAGCGAACCTGATGAGCGCTTCTACTTTAGTAAGGAGCTGCTTAAATTGGTTTATCTAATGGTGGAGAAGGTTAGCAGTGAGGTTAAAGAAAGTATTGTGAACGACAGTGCCTTACAGTTGTAAGTGAATTTTTGGTACTACTTTTTTGGCTACATAACTTATGATCACGTTTCAATTGTTTTATATACAGAGCCGACAGTTACTGGAGATCATTTTTATGTAATCTACCACAGCCATGAAAACAATATCAAAATGCAATAATTTACACACCTTCAGCATTTATTGCAGAGTATTGTGCAGGCGTACAAATTACAAGATTTTTGTAATTTTGGTAGCATGGCTTGAATGTTGAAAAATGGGTGGTGTAAAATTTGTACACATCACGTATACTGTTTTTGACTAAGGAGAGGGTACAGGCCCAAACAATTACTCAGGAGCAAATGATTGCCGTGTACACTGTGTCCAAGATATCATGATGAAGATGGTCAACTTATGGAAAGGTTGCGCAAGGGTTATTATTGGGCACCATTTTGTAGAGCTTAAAAAGTGCCTATGAGCAAGTATGATTTGTTTCTTGATATCTTTTCAAACAGTGTCACAAAAAAATAGAAACCTTAATAAGTATATGGTTATATTTCAGTCTATCTTCGAAACTGATTGGAGTTTTCGAATTTTTGCAACAAACACTGACAACTTTTTTCTAATTTAACCGACTATATCTCTTAGGGTTTCCGATTTCCCCATGCTGTTCATTCATTTTCACACTGTATGTATCTACCTACATCTTTTACTGTTCATCTACCTACTGTACATTACTACTCCTTATCTTATGTATTAATTCCAACACTAAAGAAGGTAGGTCGGTATTTCTTTTGTTTTTGTTAAAACCGCAATTGTTCGTATTTACCGTAATAGTCTCTAAATTGTAAATGAGGGTCACCAAAAAATTCGAGTTTTTTTAAGAGCGGACCTAACAGATGTATTCTCGACTTAATCGGAGGCTGTTATTGTGACCCATCTAACTAATTACAGTTAATTATACTTATCCAAACAGCCGGCTTGAAATTTCCAAATTCGGCAATCCAGTAATGCCCTTTTGTTCCTTGGAATGTGAGGTCAAACGGCGGGGTTTCCTATCACGTTGATATTTCCGTAAACTGCACCACCTTGCCGTTTTTAATGCTGGATTTCATATACCATTAGAAAATTAAAAACCTAAAACTTAATAAGTTACCTAGTAAGTACATATACTGTATCTCGTACTGTATTGACTATTGAGTAGCATTTTTATTACTAATAACAACGATGCATTGCACAGAAAAAAAACTTAGAAGCTGTTAGTTTCAACAGCATGGTGCACTCGCGTACAACGCCCTAAACGTGCTACAATAGGTATCAGACAAATTACCTGGAAAAACATGTGTTATATGTATCATAGGTATTCTCGTACGATTTGAGCGTTGTGCGCGGGTGCACCATCCTGTTGAAACCAACAGTCTCTAACTTTTACTTTTTTTGCGCTAAATTAGTAATAAAAAATGTTACTCAAACCGTATGCACCTACTTTTGTTACAGGCCATATAAAAAAATAAAGTTGATAATGATTTCTCCTAAACAAAACGTTGTATTGAAACTCTCTCAACACTATCTGGTAGAGCTCAAATTAAAACGAAATAGGCAAATTTCGGTTTTTCTGCCATATCGGGTTTTCTGGTTTTCTTTACAGCATGATAATAATTCTTTAATTGGGCATCTTTTCTCTAATTTGACCTTCCTCGTATCTTATATGGTTTCGTAGACCCCCATGATAGACATCCTTATCTTGGACACAGTGTATATATACACTATAATTATTATTCTATGTACCTAATAAATACGTTTAAGTATATGTAAAATTTTGTTGTTTCAGTTTCAAACTAGTTGATATGTTAAGCATATGCGCTGATTACGAACATCAGTTCACCATAATGAAAATCATTTTTTGTTTATTCTCGGATGAGCAGTTAGAAAGTTTTGCCAACATGATGTTTCCCGAACCTGGCACAGTGGCAAGCGATTTCAAGAATGTCAGCCGTCAAAATTTCTACAACGATATTAGACACTTTTTGAACAATTTTAATTCGAAGAGTCAACGAATAAAGTCGTTCAAATTCAAAAGTGCATTATTGGATTCATATATAGTAACTGCCCCAAATGTAGGTGGCCCCAAATTAGTGTGTGTAGCATATATTCATTTTCTCTTTCATAGTTGCTCGATGATCACATTTGGGTCGATTTTAATGTTGCAATTAAGTCTATTACAATTCTTTGTAACAAAGCTTCATTAACTGTCGATAATTTGATTGAAGATGACGACGAAATCACTATTTATTTTGATAGTGTGAAAGGAGTAAATGTATTACAGTAAGTACATACATGTACCACTTAATGATGAATTTCTTATTTTATTATTAAAAAGTTCTTTTTCCAGGGTTTTAGTTTGTTGTGTTAAAATTGCGACAATTATCTCATTTTAATTTAATAATAATAATAATAATGTTTATTATGTAAAAGTAATTAACAAATATTACTATTATTTCAACAAGTTTAAATACTTTATTGTTTAATTTTCAGATTGAAACAAGATGATTCGCCAGCATCAATTCGAAGCGTTATAAGATTTAAACTTGGGGCACCATGTGCTGTTCTCTACAAAAAAGACGCCGTAACGGCTAATTATTTAAACTTAATTATTTCTAATAGCACTGATTTAAATGAGTTAAAAAACGAAGTTTTGCCATTGATTCTTGCGGACCGCAAGGAGGTAAGTACGCTTTTGATCTGGTAAGATATCTGTGCCCTGGTCTCCCAATATGGGTTCGTTAACTTGTATTATGTTTATCGTCGCCCAAGGAAGAACTGATTAAGTTTTCAGTGACCAAGAGCTTGTTTGTTTATGTATTTATTATATTGTTTAAACAATATAAATACTTATTTCCCGCTCTTGAAGGCTTCTGATTTTAAATAATTAAAAAAAATCAAAATCGGAGCTGTTCTTGAGGTCTTGCTACGAACTGCGGTAGTTCGCACGCAATCGGCGAGCTTTAAACTTAAATGGAAAATTAATAAAAATAACATAATTTTATTACGAAAAAAAAAAGAATTACAACTCAATAAACACGACGGCAGCGATTACAACGGCGGAACGGTCAACTCGGGCGCCACCAAGTGATGCTGCGACCTTGTTCTTGGTCAATTTGGGTAGGAATGGTTTAGCGGATACCTCGGGCAAACTCAAATGGAGTAAACAGCAGCTCTAAAAAGAGCAAGCGGTGGGCGGCTACTGATGAATGCTAAAACAAAATTAAAGCGCACAACAATTTCTTAAGCGGGAACGGTAAATAATCGAATTAGGTAGCGGTATCGGCGGGAAAGTAAATGAGGAATCGGCGTAACCTTGCATGGCCTTCCAGTTTAAAATTAAAATAGAAAACGAAAACCTGCTAATAATGGCTTAACGTGGCTGAAATTCTAAAATATTTATTTGCCCTCGTCTTCTAAATGACAAGACCTTTCGGACGCAGCAATAATAATTGTAATATCTTGACGAGAACGGTTGCAAACTGCGCATTAATTACAGCTTTCGTTTACGGTAGCGGCGGCTGAAACACAACTCTAGAAATTAAATCAAATACCTTTACGTCCTATCTTCAATTTCTAGAGCCAACATAAATAATTTCGGTACTATACATTTCGTAACGAAACACCCAACTTAAGAAAGAGGCTTCTAGATACCGGGTGCTCATCTACAGAGTGGTCACTAAAACTGGTAACTTCAAGGCGGAAAACTGGTGCTTCGTCACAGACTTCCTCTTTTAGGTACCTATTCATTGACGCGACTAATAATATAAGCATAATGTTCCTCAAATTTAGCAGCATAAAAAGGAATTTAATTAAGAGTAAAGTGTAAAGATTAACGGACGACGTTTATGAATGAAAAGTATCAATTGGGCAGTCTACATCTAATAAAAATGCAGATTGTTTGGTACTTTTGAGTTTTCTTTATCAAAATTGTTTAAAATACAGTACTGGAGTGTCATTCTATGTAACATTTACAAATATCAACTTAATAATAAAATTTTATATTTACAGGGAAAATCACAGGAGTGTGATCAGTTGGTAGATAACTGTAAGTATACACGCATGATACATGCATGCAACTTTTACATTGCCCTACTTTTATTACAGCAACAGATGAACAAAAAGTAACATTAGGAGATGTAAGTAAATGAGTGGCAATTTGTGGTATGGTTTATGTAATTAAAAATCATTCTATTTTTAGTGTTCATTACAAACTTTAGAAGAAAAACATACAGACAGTGACATTAAACCACACATTGTTATAGGATATCCCTATGATACACCTTCAGTATCTGACGGAATTGTAAGTCGTATACATAATAAATTAAGTAATATACACAATGGGAAAAGTACATGTTGTAACATAACAGATCTTTGTACTGAATTATAAAATATCTTGAGAAGTGACTTATCTCATTTCCAACATCATAGATCAACTCATATCATTTTGTATGTATACGATGCAACTTATACTTTTCTTTTTTTTAGTCAATAACAGCAATGAAAGAACTAGAAAACGAGAATTTTGATAAATCCCCAAGCATTAGACTAAAACGAACTGTACGTAATATCTACTATTGTCTATTCTATTATCGTTTAATTGTAACATTCTTAGGTGCCCCGATTAGCAGTTTTAGTAGCGACTTCAAATGTTGAGTCCATTAACGATGGAATAAGTTTGAATGATAAAAAACTGACTAGCCAAAGTGGGTCATCATTGGATTTAACATTAAATCGTAGTGAAATCTGCAATTCGTTTAACATATCTGGCATTTCTTCCATTGAAAGTGTCGCACTCCATAAATCAGTAAGTGATATCGCCTCATTGAACAAAGCCGACGATAATGCTTTTAATGAAAATGCTCTGTCGGCCAAAATACACCTTGGCAATTATAAAGAATTCTATACAAATTCTGGCAAGGACTCACTTGCAAGTATTCTTAAAACACAAGATTTAAATAACTACTTCAACTGTGAGTCTGTAGCTCACAAGGAAAGGACGCCTGAAAACTTAACCTGTAATGATAGATCAATATCTTCAAAGGCAGGATCACACGATCCACGATACTCAAATGACCATGGCGCTTCCGCTGAATTGACAGACATGGCAGAAGTTAATGACAATCATTTCCTAGAACCAGAATCGGAGAGCTACAAATCCTGCAGTGACACTGATTATGTGCGCGATAAAGATGTAGTAGCAGAGTGTGTCGAAAAAAATATTGAGCAATTGGCAGCAAGTAATGAATATCATTTCCTAGAACCAGAATCAGAGAGCTACCAATCCTGCATTGACACTGATTCTGTGCGCAATAAAAATGTAGTAGCAGAGTACGCCGAAGCAAATATTGAGGAGTTACAATCTGCAACAGTAGATGGTTTGAGCCACTCAACGTCTTACGATAATTACTCTCAAAGCACAGTAATTATAGCATTGACAAATGAATCGTATGATGCAAGCACGGTTATAATACCACCTCAAGTTGAGAAAATTAGTTTGAATGAGATGTCGTTGGATTGTGCCATGGAACCAAAACAAAGCTCAGAGGATAAGCAACAATCTCCTGAAGCTGTTCAATCCGCTTGTTCAACGATAAGAATTGATGAAAACAAAAAGTTAGGTACAAAGAAATACAAAGACAGTAAAATACCTGTGCGTCAATCGATAAAAAATAAAAAAACAGATGAAAGTATACACCATCCAGCTGATGATATAATTCCGCCAGCACAAATTAACAGTGGAACTAATTTAAGCGATAATGTTACCAATAATATGTCTGAAATAGCAAAACTAGATAAATTGTCAGAAATAGATACAAGTTCTAGAGAAAAAAATGAGATGCTATTATCCTCGCCAAAGAAAACGCGAATACAGACCCTAAGAATCAAACATGCTGGTGATGAGGAAAAAGAGAACCGAATAAATAAGAAAAGTTTGTCACGTGAAAAAGAAGAAAAGGTAATAAGGGATGGAATTTTAAAAAATGCAGTCGCAAAACCTATTAATGAAGAAGGTTTGAAAATGGATAGTAAGATGATTACAAAATCCAAAGAAAAGAAAGAGACGCCAGATAAAGGAAGAAATCGAGATGTTGACAGCCCAATGTCGCAGATATCACAAAAGAAAGTTCCTAGTTCAGAAAAAAGAAAATATAACGAAACGGATAAGTTAGACAGCCCAATGTCACAGATATCACAAAAGAAAGTTCCTAGTTCAGAAAAAAGAAAATATAACGAAACGGATAAGTTAGTGTATGAAGAGAAGATAACACCGTTTGAGGAACAGAGCAAAACTGTTTCGCCATCAAAGTCTCCCAGAAAAACTGAACCGAGCAAAGATGATCTGTTTAAATCGATAGAAATTACTAAAAAAATATATAAGCAAATGATCGAAAATGCGAAGTATTTAAAGGTGGAGATTAGTATTGAGTGCCAAAATGCTGTAAAGGCATATCTCACAAAACAAAGGTCGTCTAAAAAATCTAGTTGGCGGAAACTACACAACCCAAATGCTATGTTTCCTGCAAACTGTACAGATGATTTGAAAGCGCACCGAGAAACTACTGGAAATAAAGTTGCTAATGATATTGAAATGATCACTGCAGTGGATATTGAAAAAGACTGTATTCCAAAGAAACGTGAAAATTCTGTCAGTTTGTGTAACATATCTTCTAGAACACACCCGTATACTCCGTCTAAAAAGATTAGTTGGCGGAAATTACACAACCCAAATGCAGTGTTTGCACCAAACTGTGCCAGTGAATTGAATCAAGAAACCGCTGAAGATCAAATCCCTCCTTCTTCTAATATGTCCGCTGCAGTGGAAATTGAAGAAAACCATATTCCAAGCAAACCAATTGACTTGTCTAAAAATCCTGTCAGTTTGTGTAACATATCTTCTAAGACATACCCTTATACTCCATCTAAAAGGATTAGTATGCGGAAATTATATGACCCAAATACAGTTGTGTTTGCACCAAACCATGCAAATGATTTAAATCCGCAGGAAGAAATCACTGAGGATAAAATCCCTCATTCTTCTGTCATCGAAATGACCACTGCAGTGGCAATTGAAGATGTCCCAATGTCCCAAAATTCTGGCAGTTTGTGTAAAATATCTTCTAAGACACACCCTTATACTCCGTCTAAAAAGATTAGTTTGCGCAAATTACACAACCCGAATACAGTGTTCACACCATACTGTGCAAGTGATTTGAATCCGCAGCGAGAAATCACTGAAGATAAAATCCCACATTCTTCTAAGGTCATTGAAATGACCACTGCAGCAGAAATGGAAGAAAGCCATATTCCAAACAAGCCACTCGACATGTCTGAAAATTCCTTGAGTTTGTGTAACATATCTCCTGTGATACACAACTCTCTTGTTGCAGTTCAGCAGTGCAATACAAATGTAAACAAGGGAAAAGGGACCACAAAACAAATACCTGTAATCGATTGTACAAAACAAATGAAGGGTCAGATTAATATACTACAAAATACTGTTATAAAACCTCCACCGATAAAAAATATCACTCCTTTGTCAAAATCTCTAGGCACAAATAAAGTAGCTTCTGCTACTGCCCCCAAACAACATATCGACGAACCGCTTAGATTGGGAACATTAGATAACTTCGAAGAAGTTTTAGAGAATAAAGAATTTATGGTGTTTCTGAAATCGATTCGCAAAGCCATAGTGGAAGGTACTCGACAAAATCGGACCAGATGTTATACATACGAATCTATCGACAAAACGAACTGTCCTAAATTAAATGTGAAGGAAGTCTTAAATGAGACTGGCGATGATTGTGAAGGTATTTTGAGACAGTATGGTGATGCTTGTAAGAAAGTTCAGAAGTTCTTGTCTAGTCACCAAACAAAAGGTAGGTTAATATAGTAAAATCGCTACTTATGCAAAAATTATATTTTTCAGAAATGGTTCCTCAATTTAAGAGGTAAGTTGGTATAAAGATGTGATATAGATATTTTCACTTCTCTAAAACTGCAAAACGTCTTGGTCTATTTTTTGGTCTGCACTGAAAAGTTTCAAGTTGATAATCTTTAAATGTTTTTTAGAACATCACGAGCTATTCTCCAAGCAAATGCTACATTATGTGACCGACTGATTAAAGTGGATCCCAATGTCAATAAATTGGGACAATGCACTGTAAGTAAAGAAATGAAGAAGCACTTACATAAATATGTTAAGTAAACTTATTTATTCATAAGTAAATTGTTAATAGATTATCTATTAAAAACTGTGTTCCTATTTGAATTTGTTAATTTCTTTGATTCATTTTATAGCTTAACGCCTAACAATTAGTAGGTATATAGGCATATTATTATAACATAAAGTGTTCATTTGTTTTATGTTTAGATGTTTGACAATATGCAATAAATTGTTTAAGTAAAAAATGTGTGCAGTTAATGTCTAAATTAATAAATAGTAACGTTTACTGTGACTTTAATTCGTTCTAGGCGTTTCTTTTACACGGCCCTCGTCTGTCCCAGATTTAACTTAGCATCTGACCTATCGACGCTAACAAATGGCATTGTATGAGGTCGAGATCGGAATGTTTATGTGTCCTGGAAACGCTTCTTTAAGTATGAATTTTGTAAAAATTGGAAAGGGAATTTCCAAAAACCTAGGTACAATCGCTAGTTCCATCTTCTCTTGTGGTTGCTCACAACTGAAATATTTTTGGGGTCTCGGTTTATTTACAAAAATGCTTTTTTTTCTACTCTGTTGCCTTCTTTTTTGACATACAGGGTGGTGCCTAGCGCAACGCAGCATAGGGATTTCAATGGTAATTTCTTTATAGTCAATTACTAGCTCCCCTAATTATTTTAGAGCAAAAGTCTAAATACGTTTTTTTTAGAGAAAAAAATACTGCATCTGTTCATACTTTTAGTTATAATTTTCCATTTTTCAAAACCGTAGAAATCGACAAAATAAAAAATTACATTTTTATAAATCAGTGATGCTTTGGAATCTTTTAACAAACTACAAGCGCATTTGTTCCTAAACTTATATTCGGATTTTCCGCTACTGCAGTCAAAACATTGAATGTATTGTCGTTTTCCTGATTGTTTTGACGGACATTTTGAACGTTATTGCACTTGCAGTTCTTTAACTAATTTATAAATAAGTATAAATTTAATATACCGTCAAAGGCAAATAATGAAACGTGATCGCTGTTTTTTTAGGTAATTCCAAGGCATATTTCATTTATTGTAAAATGAACCTTTTTATTTTGTCGATTTCTACGGTTTTGAAAAACAGAAAATATAAGTAATAGTATGAACAGAGCAGTATTTTTTTCTCTAAAAAAAACGTATTTACACTTTTGCTCTAAAATAATTAGGGGAGCTAGTAATTGACTATAAAGAAAGTACCATTGAAATCCCTATGCTGCGTCGCGCTATGCACCACCCGGTATAGTACCTGCCAGAAGTATCTGAACACCCAGTATACTTTGAACAATTTTGATGAAATTTTCAGGTCAGTTGTATGTATTCCAAAATACGGAAGGATGAAAATTTCATCATGATACAAATATTAAAGTAACGCTAATAATAATAATACTTCCATGGCTTTCCCCAAGGATACTATATAATATAAGGATTGCTCGATCACTGAATTTTTTCGCCGCGTGTAGTGACGTCACTCGCGGACCCAGTACCAGCGCATGCTTTGATTAAGGCCGATTCCCATTATAGCAGCATCGAGCAGCGCGGCGCGGTGAAAAGCTGCTCTCAATTTTTCGCATGTAAATAAGTAGATCCGTTTTCACCTAGGCAGAGCGGTGCAGAGCAGAGCGGCGCGGTGCAGCGCAGCAAATTTTAAACGCGTCGGGAAGCATTGGAATACGTGGCGCTGCTTTGAAACGCTCCGCTCTGCGTGTAGACGGACAAGTGGGAATCGAGGAGCGAAGCAGATCAGCGTGGTGCTGCGGCTTGTGAAAAGCATTCATTTGTCTTCTGTGTTGAGCTTGCGTGTGTTAGTGGATTCGCTATGGACGGACAAAGAATAGAAAAATTAAGTGTACTCGTCCGCTTTCTTTTTCTTCTTTTTTCGTCGTGTACAATGGCATAGTGCCGCTATAAATATTGTGAAATCATCTGGTGATGATGACGATGATGGCTCTTCTTCGAGCGTGTAAGAATACATTCTCCCTTAAACTGAACACAAACAGAAACGCTGCTTCGTCACGCTTCCAAATGGTGCTTAAGTGGGAATACCCCTCTACAATTTGCTGCTAGCGACGCGCCGCGCTGCTCTGCGCCGCGCCGCTCGGTGCTGCTCTAATGAGAATCGACCTTTAGGATTACCATAAAATACGTTCAAATGGTTGTTGTAGGCAGGCATTTAAATTAGAAACACTTGTCCATTAATCTCGCTTGCAGCACCATATCGATTCCTTTCGTATTAATCCATCGGTTTTACGGAAGTTATGGTAAATGACTTCCGGGTTAGTGATTTTTGTGCAAACACGGCTGTTGTTACAGTCTAATATAGCACATCGGCGTCTTGGCGTCCATGCAAATACGTTCACAACTTAGCAAATTATAACTGTCAATTCTGACAGCCAGGTCCGTTGGTGACGTCACATATGACTTAAACTTGGGCAACATTACAAGTATAGGGATCGAGCAATCCTTATATATATATATAGTATCCTTGGGCTTTCCCATTCGCCAAATCGATCACCAATCGTATATGACGGGTCGGAGGCTAAAGGTTTTACAAACACCTGCAAACATCAGTTTAGATGGTCTTCGTCTTCGAACACGCCTTTTAGAATCTTGAGACACAGGCTTGCATCGATTAGCGAATTTCAAGTGTGCCCATGGTAGTGCTGTGTAAAAAAACGATAACTTATCGATTAATTGGCGGTCGATAAACGATTAATCGATAATTAGTCATTTAAAAGTAGTACTTTGCAAAAAACGATTAACCGATAATTATCGATTAATAGAATGTCGATAAATTAAAAAAAAAAGGTCAACTAATCGATAATTTTACGAAAATTTTAAAGGATTGGTTCATAAATCTATAATTACCGATAATCTATCGATTAATCTCACAACTAAACTAAGAAGATAGATAATTATCGAGAGAATTTTTAACGACATAACCTTGCGAAGTCCATTTTCAATGTTTATACCATTTTACTTGAAACAAACGCGATCAAGTATAGGTAAGAGCATTGTGGAGTTGCCATGATCACAATTCACAACCTACTTCTCTACTAATTTTTGAGGATTATCGTCCACTTGATCACCTTTGATTTCAGAAAACTTCAGCATACCTACCTACAGTTGTTTTAATATTTTTCAAAAGATCCTGTTTTTATTTAAATTATCTCCTGCAATACCAATAGCAAATAGTACATTGAAATACAAGTGCAGAAACGGTATTATTGAAAAACGAGTATAAATGTAAATGTTCCTATTATACGAGTTTTTCAATGACCGTTTCGGCATGCGTGTTTCATACTATTCTTTCTACGAAAGTGAAAAGTTCTTCTCTAGAAATTAGAAATTTAAACTAGTCAGATAACGGAAGAAAATCATGTAGTCTGATCGTAGTTGGATGTTTCAATTGTAAATGATCAAGTAAGCCGGTTGCCATGACAAAACATAATTGTTTGAAAAATCGTAAATTAAAGTCAAACAATTTGTGGCGTAGTGAAGAAGTGTTAAGATGGATTTTGACGAAACTGAAGATGAAGAAGGTATGTGCACCCGCCGCGGACGTTGCGGAAATGGCTAATGCAGTTTCGCATGAATTTCTACCCCAAAAGTCTAAGCAGCGTTTCGGAAAGAATCACGAAGTTTTTGGGAGAAGCGCCTGATGAAACATTTGTAATGATGAAGGTTTGTGAATTTCTTATTGTATTTTTAAATAATAAATAAGCATAATTTAATTACAGGTTGCTCTCGTCCTTGGAGTGGCTGGAGCTTGCCGTCGGAGCGAACGTTGTAAAATGACTGTAACAGATTTCACAGAACAAGATACAATTTTATTGATAACGATTCCTGACTCCAAGAATCATGTCCCAAGAACGTTTTCTGTAGCAGAAGGCAAAAAAAATTGGATACAGATTTATACCAAATCCCGAGCTTTACGTCCCTCTAATGTGCCAACTAATCGGTTTTTCTTAAATTATAAGAAAGGTAAATTTACTGTTCAACCGTATAGGTAAACATGTTTTGCAAATTTCCTCAACAAACTGCAAATGATCTAAATCTGCCAGATCCTTTTGCTTTTACCGGTCATTGTTTTCGCCGGACTTCGGCCACGCTATACTTGTTAATGCTGGAGCAGATATTCTGAGCCTAGAGTGTCACGGAGGCTGGAAGTCGTCAATGGTAGCAGAGGGTTACATCGATGAGTCTTTAAGAACGAAAGTTGAAGTTTCAAAGAAAATAATTGGTAATGCTTCTGATATTTCTGAATTAACTGGTACCTGCACATCGTCTTGGGCGTTCAATGTAATAACTTCCAATCTTTCGATTTCAAAATCTATTAATCAATTAAAGTCGACAATTCCAGGTGTAAGTACAGGTAATTGTTCATCTTGTACTTTTAATATTAATATTAGTAATTAGTAATATTTCATGTATGATTTTTTAGTTGTAGTTTCATTGTAGTTTTTAGTGATCCAATTTTTCTACCATTGTCTTATATAACGAAACTGTGAATAAAGCAATACAATTACAAAGAGTTACTTCGCATATGTTTATTAATTATTAGCGTGTAGAAAATGCGTGCAGAAAATATTTTTTTCTATTTCGGTGTTACAATGAGAATTTTGTGCAACTGTTTTGGGCAAAAACAGTGTTTCAATGAGTTCCATTTTAACATTGTTTTTGGTAACTTTTCATCTCTAAGTTGGCAGTTCGCCAAGACGTCAACGTCAAATCATTAGATACATGTGAAATCAAATTACGTAAAATTTATGTGTTTTCCTTGATTTTTGGTACACGAAGAACTTAATACATTCCAAATCAGCAGTTTACACATCCACCATAAATAAATTTATCTACGAATAAAAAATTACACATTCACGGAATTTAAAGTTTCCAAATGTCAGTGTTGTGTTTATCTACGTGCCAACTTAAAATTTGTCAACGTAAATGGTGTTGCCAACTTAAGACATATTAATTCTAAAGTTTCCTGTAGTTTTTCATAATTACTTTTTAATTAAATTAAAGCCCCGAAATAGAAAAAATAGTATGAAAAACACGTGTTACAATGCTTTATTGTAATACTCCTATCTTGTGGACACTCGTGGCTCCGCTTCGCTACGCCACTCGTGCCACAA